AGGTATAGGTTGTCCTGCAAATTCTTTGATAGAAATACTGGGATCTCCTCCACAATGGGATCATCCTCAACGTCCATTCCACTTAGGATTTAATACTTTCAATTGTTTTACTTTGCCTGCAGGGCACGAATCATGCGGCGTTGTTGGCAGAATGACCAAGTATTGATACCACGTAAATACTAGTCGCCATTAAAAATAAGCCCTCAATATACTAGTAATATACTGCACCGTGCTTGCGATAGTCTTATCGATAGGTCTGTCGATAATACACATTCGATTGATTGATTACCCAACATCAGTATATTGCCCGCGCAATTGCAACACTTTAACATGTCCAATCAAGGTGTTCATCTACTTGCCTCTTTTGGGCATTAAAACCCAGACGATGTTACACTTCACATTTAATTGAATTAAATTGAAGCTGATTCAAATTTACAGTGCATATGTGACCTTTCTACTCTGACTAGTTGTTCTCATACGGCAGTTGGGTTTTTAACACAATCCCACAATTCATTTAAAGATATAAATACATATATGTATGTATGTACATATGTATGTACGGCAGCTGATGTGCAAATATTTTCCATTCCAATGAGTCGTACGTTGCCGGTGGCGACTACGCGCTTATCAATTCAATTGAAATAATATTAACAATAGCTGGCTTTATAATAAACTCGGTTGCATCAACAGGGACTTGCGACTCGGAGTGGAAGCACGCCCCTCGATGAGTAATCGCAGCTCAAATTTCCAGCTGCTATCTGCTTGGAAACAGCTTTATGGCTTTATATGCTCTATACATATAGCAGAGTACAGTAACCACATTTTGTATGATCATAAAAACATAAAAAATAATTTATTTGCTTATTAATTTGTTTAATAAATATACAATATATAAAATTTCTGGTTAGTTTGCAAGGCATTTGCAAGGCCACTCAAAGTGTTTTCATGACAAAAAATAAAAAACACCCAAAAACTAGTACAAAACTCCGATTAGCTGGTCGACAAACGAATTATCTTTCCACACATTTTTTAACTACGCTGAAAAATACATACACTGATAACGAGGTACATTAACACACTTTCTGTTTAGTAGACACACAGAATACGCGGACTTGACTTGGACATGTCGGTAGAAAATTAAAATTGATTCGTATTTCAAGGCACAACAGGCACTCTGTTAAATAGATATTACATATTAGTCTAGGGGCATTAACGTTGGACAATAGCGCCCAATAGAAAGGTCGATCTATTGGGCACATAACATTTACACATACATATACGTACACACACACATGTTAATTAATTAATTCAAATCGAATTTTTTTAAGCATGCAAAATTTGTGCTTGGCACTTTTAGGACGAGGATCATTCTGATCCATCTTATGACCAGCCGCCTGTCAGCTTGTGGAACATCTCCTCGTTAAGTGTCTGGTTACTTTCTTTGGAGCGCATCGACATGAAGATGTAGCCGCCAATGAACTCGTGCACCACCTTGCAGTCGGCGGACAGGCAAGAGAAGACAACGTTCTCGTCGTGGAACTGAATCATCATGCACTTGATACCCCAGTTTACGTTCCAGGCTTTCATTGTGTTGTAGCGCCAGGTCATCAGATGATCGCCCGTATTCAAGTCCATGCGCATGATGCGGTTGTGCGCCACGCCCAGCAGCTCCTCCTTTTTGTGGCCATCGAATTTGATGACAAAGAGCGTGACGCCGAAGTCGGGCAGCGATTGCCACGCCTGAATGTACTTCAGCTTGGCCTCCATCAGCTGCAGCTGGCGCACATTGGCGTGTGCTTCCAGAATTCGCTGCACGGCCTTGCCGGACAGCTTGCGCAGCATTTTGGGCGACAGATAATCATTGGCGTCCACTGCGCGCGGATTGATATTCAAAGGCGCCGCCTGTGCCTGCGGCTTCTGCATTTGGAGCAGCGAGCGTATGCTGTTTACCTCGCTCTCGTAGCTGCTGTCGGCCAGCGAACGTCCCTTGGCGGCCAGGCGACAGGCGGCCATCCATTTGGCATATTGCTCCTCGTTCTCACAGCGCACCCAGTATTCGGTATTGGGGCTTTTAGGTCCCGCTGGGACCTCCAGCCGTATGCCAAACTTGCCCTGGGCTAAATGCACATCGGGCGTCACCTCGCAGCCACGCAGATTGATTGTGATGCTGGGGGCACCGCGACGCGTGTCCTCTTGTGATTTGTAGAGGTGCAGCTGCAGGTCGCGGTACGTGAAGAAGTAGCGCTTGTAGCCCCTCAGCGTGAACACCTGTGGCTTCAGGAAGCGCAAGTAGTCGGATAGTTCGGGGATTCGTGTTATGTTGCCAGCATCGCTGCCCGAGCTGGGGCCCTCCAGGGTGATTTGCAGCTCGTTCAGGGCCGAATCAATGTCGTCGTCGGCGTCGTTCTCTTGGCTGGACGACTCAATGCCGGAATCAGTGCCGTGCGGATGCAGATCTGTTTGATGATTGATCTGAAATTGCAGCGCGGCAAACATCAGTGTCTCCTCCTCGGTGCAGTCCAGCTCCTCGTTGAGTATCGACCATTTGGCCTGCTCGTACAGCTGGTTGATGCGCACCTGATCGTACTTCGGATTTAGATCAAAGAACGTATAGTACTTGAATCGCAGACAGAGCGTATCGAATTCGCGCACACCTTGCTCCATGATCGACAGCGAGGAGTCCAGCCAGCCGACATTCATGCGGGCCTTCTGCACCAACGACTTGGGCCGCACAAGGCGAGCGCGCACATCGGGGCTGGGAGAGCGTGGGGAGACGGACAAATTCTCCTGCAATTCACCAAAGATAGAGCCCGAGTCATAGGCGACGTAGCCATTGTGGCTGTTGTTGTGCCACCAGGTGCCAGTGGGCGAGCTGATAGGTGTGCCTGGTGCAGTGGTCGCTCGCCGGGGCGTCGTTGCATACGGCGATACTGGAGCGCACAAAAGATTTCCGTTTCCATGTGACCTGTCCAAGCTACCATTGCTTCCATTATAGGCATTTGTGATGGGCACAAATGAGTTGGTGTCTGGCGCAGGATGCAGATAGGCGGTGCCATTGGCCTCCGCAACGGGTATCATCTTTTGCGGTAGCTTGGAGAAGTTCTTCTTTAAATGCTCTGGCTCGAGAGGCTTGCAAAATGAAAGTTCTTCCGGATAGCGTATGTCCAGCTCCTTGCAGAGATTTACTACGGCGCCAAATGTTTTGATTGAGAAATTGACACGGCAATCCAGATAGCGAAGGTCAGGCATCTGGACACGCAGAGTCTTGTGCATGGGCGTGAAGTGTAGAAATGAATCGGATTGAACGCCAGCCTGGTCGAGGGTAGAGCGCGTGCGCGTTAGCCAGATGTTTTTGGCTGGCCACCAGAGCGCATGATCGGACCAATCCTTGGGCATTTCCGGATCGACCAGCTGCAGCATGACGCCGCCAATATGCTGGTCACCGCGCACACGCAACGTTTTCTCCACCTGCAGATCTGTGATGAATATCCGCAGGTTCCAGGTGTTCTCGCCCACATGAATCATCGTGCCACTGTTTTCCTATTTTGGGCGTATTGCCAACACACATATACGAGGCACAAGCACTAGCAAATGAGCGATTGGGCCACAAGCTAGAAATGAATAGAAGCAATAATTTGATTTTTAAATTCGCTCTATCGATGACGTAATCTACATACATACGCTCTGTCTCTGCCTTCTATCCAATATGCGAGCTGCTTTTGCAATATACACATAAGCGAACGCGAATGGTTTCGCTGCTGGTGCCCTTATCTCGCCCAGATATTTGCTTTGGCTCGCACAGACAGCTACCAGCACTCGTTCTGTTACAGCTCCACTTCTAATGAAAGCTCTCACTACTCAACGGGGCTCAATCGTTGATGTTATGGTTGTCTTTGTTAGTTCCCTCGTCGCAATAAGCGCTCAAGGTTATCGTTAGCGTTCTTTCCGAGGAGGTGGAGACGTCGTTGTCGTCCCACGGCACAACAAATACTAATGAATGCTGCAAAATTCCACACACATACGAGCGACTGCGACTGCGACGGCGGCGGCTACGAGCGAATGTGAACAAAGCCAAAACGCCAGCAGCTCTAACGAGATAGAGAGAGAAATTAATTCATAAATAAATCAGCACGAAGCAGCGACGACGCGACGTGTTTTTGGTTGATTTCGCTTACAACTTGTTTCTGCTAATGTGTATGTTTTTCTTTGGCTTGTTTATTTGACTATATACAAATTATATTTGGCCATTCGTATTTGCCCAGCATCTACAATGCGACGTTTAATAGCGTAAATTTATTTTTAGATGATTTTTCACGTTCGTCATCAGGCTTCGTCTGTTGCTAGAGTCGAGCAAGTACTTGTTATCGATTGTACATTTATTGATGATCATGACGATAGTATTGTTTACAGCAAATACATACGTTTACCGAAATTATTCATAAAATCTTAAAATCTTAAAATAATTCCCATATATTCTTTTTTTTAATGATTTATGTAAAAATCTTAAATATATATTGCCAACTCATATTGTGCATCGATATATCGATAACATTCAACAACCCTGCGCGGACTTAGTTGCATAAATACTTTTAACGAACTGACAGTAAGTTATTCTACAGTAAGGTGTGGAATTATAATTTTAAAAATTCAAAGTTTATGACTGAATAAATATAATATAACTTTGAAGGAGTACATTTATACGGATGCTAAGGTCCATGGCAACGACTGCCATTGACACTGCACGCACACTTGCCAACGTGCTCTGCCTTTCACACAGAATTCGTAAACAAACACAATGAAAGCTCCCGTTCAGCCCCAAAGCGCCAGTCGTTGCGGCGCTGTCTATTCGAGCGCACGTACTGCAGAAATTGTCTCTCAGATAGCTGAACGCCGACTTGAGTACGCGCCCGTACCCTATCTCGCTCACACATACGTTGATAGTCAATACGAATACCTGTAAACGAGCGCGCCATTGCATGGGCGAGCGTGTGTATGTGAGTGTGTGTGTGCCAGTATATGTGAACAGCCAGCTAGGAAAATTGTGCATGGAAAATCAGAAAAATCTTTCTTAAAACAACGTGAAAACGCAAGCCATGAATCAAAGATAGCGTATACAGTCCAATCAAATAATAAATCTCAAACGTAGCACAAACAACTGAAACATCAGAAGTATATAGTGATTTTTTAATTTTTCGACTTCGTATTGTGTGTTTGACAGACGAAAAATCGATCCAAACGATGCGAATCAACACAAAATTATAAGTTTTTTCTCGAAATAGTAGTGCAAAATATCATATAAACATTATTTACATGTAAATTTATATATACATACGTGCATATGGTGTATATATAAACGAAACGGCTAATTTCATTAGTAAAAGTTGGAAAATAGTGAGCGGTAGGGAAAGAGAAAGAGAGGTAGAAACAGAGTGAACGACTGGAAAAGTGAATTACGTTAATAGTTTAAAAAAACGCGCAACAGCCGCTGCAATACGATAAAACAACAAAGACAACAACAACAGCAAACAACTATAGAAATAACAGCAACAGCGCTTAGTCATCCGTGTGAGTTACGCCAGCGCAGTTCCAGCTCTCTGGCAGCAAACGGTGCGGGCCTATAGAGTGTAGCGGCCCCAGGTTAAAGCGCTTGTGACTGACTGCTCGATGATAGCGATTGCATTGCACTACGCCTACGCGTGATTCCAATAACAACAGTTATCGCAGTAACCTGTTGTACGCGTTTCTAGTTCACCTTTCGTTGTCAAACAAACAGAACAGCAAGCAGCAAAACACACAAAAACAAAAACACCGCGAATCGGATTAAATACCAATACACGTACAAACAGTGCACAAACAATAATATACAAACATAGTCGTACAACATAATAGAAAACTAGAAAAAGTTTACACATTAAAATACAGACCGGGACACACCTGTTTGCTGCATCCATTGTGCCGAAATAATAGTTACACATATACAAATATCTTGTTTCTATTTAGTGACCAAATATTGAGTTGAATTGTTAAAATGTCGCGCTTAACTGAGGAAATGGTGATTGCCCGTGCCAAGCAATCGGACCTGGGTCTTATTAAAAAACTCAATTGCTGGTAAGTTAAGTGAACTATTTGTTATTGGCTTTGGAGTGAAAGCCCAGCCCAGTGATCTCTGTCGAGATCTCTGCCAGATCTCTGCCCACTTGCCGCTTTCACTACGCCAGTCGCACTCAGTCAGTCAGTCAGCCTGACTGACCCAAATCCCTCAATTGCCAGCACTAGCAACCAGTTTAACCCAAGTTGTCCACTTGCCTGCCTACCCGGCTTTCTGGCTGCCTATCTATGCCAGAGCAGGGCGGCTGAAAACGTCTAAGAGCTTTGAAGCCTTTTCCTGCTCCAGCTAGGAAAGCACTTGAAGGATTTGCCTGCTGTGAGCAGCAGCCATTCGAAACAGTTCTTTTGCAAGTGCATCTTAGAGTTTATTGGGTTGTCCGGGTGCTTAAATGTCAACATTATGTAAATTTAAATATTAAAGGAAATTTACGAGCGAGGGTAAATTTGTGATTTGAGACATTATTATTATTATTGTTTATTATATTTCTTATTATTATTTACGACAGAAACTTGGTTCTATATAAAACAGCATCAAATAAATGCGATTACGAACGAAATCAAATTTAATTTAAAATAACAATTTTTTTTAATGCAAGCGCAGTCGTTAAAATTACTTTTACATTACATTATCCTCAGAATATTCGAATTGAAATTATCCATAGGGAAAATAAAATGATTTCCTATTTGTCAAATAATTATTTAATTATCATGAGCTAAATCAATTTCTTTTTTATGCTATGTAGTTAATATTGATTCAGTACTTAAACTTTTTTGTTGTTTGCTTAAAGTACCTTAGCGTAAATTTAATAAAATATCTTATGGAAAAGGATCAGTCAGAACATAAAAGGTTTTATATCTCTATATCTTTAGTTTCAGGTGTTGAGTTGTTAACATAATTTCCTACTTTATTTTATTATATTGCATATATTACTATACTATATACTATACAAATAATAATATAACATATTATATCTGCACAACAGTAATTAATAGTATGTTTTATATTCTACTACGTACATATATACTATTTATAAATATACGCAATAAACAATAGATGTAATAATAAAGTATATCAGCGAACAAATATCAAAAGATATTATTACTATCATATTATACATATATTAGTGCTTTAAAAAACCATTAATCAATAATAATCCTTATTTTTTCATTCTAAGCCACGCAATCTATAATCTTTCTATATTTTGTTTCTTGTCTTTTTAGGGGCAGTGATCTCACCGATGTCAATATAATTAAGCGAATGCACGGTGTTGAAGTTTTGGCGCTTAGGTAAGTCAAACGTATCTTAAATTGTATCCAATTCGACTCAGTTATAGATTAGAGGAGCGTTACGCTCATTTCCTGCACAGTGCCTTGATAGATTTTGAAATTCAATTAGACGCTTGCCATGTTAGTCAAATCTGCACATAGTGGGTGGAAAAGCTAGAATGAGAAATGAGAAACAGAGAGAGAGAGAGAGAGAAAGCTAATCTGGGCATAAGTTTGTATCTGTCAGATACTTGTGCTCAAATGATGTCATTCGCACAGCGAGAGGCGACGGCATCATCAACAGCCGCAAGCAAGCGAAAAAAAAACTTTGGCACGCTCAAGCGCGTAATTAATGCAGAAAGCAACAGCAACTACAACAATATGAAGCATAACAAAAGTCGTGGGAGCACCAAAATTGGCAACAGCAACTTTAACTCTGTGGGTCCAGTAAAGGCCCAACACATTCGCCCGAGCTGTGTGCGTGGGGGCAAGGGCAACGTTTGCTGCTACAAATAAATGCGAGATACGAGCTGCGAGCTACGAGCTACGAGATACAATAAGCTCTCACACAGATACCGCGGCACTTAACACAGATACTGGTGCTTGCATGTAGGTGATGATTATGCCAAGTATCTTGAAGTTTTCCTCTATTGCTCTCTGCTACCTTGTAGATTGCGGCCTTTTAAGGCAAACATCAATGTTTTTGATTGTCAAGGTCGTTTCGATCGATTTGCATGCCAAACTGACTGTCATATGGACAACATATTGTTGCAAAACAGCAAACGCATATCTGAACTCTTATAATGTATTTATTAGCTGTGCATCGCCTTATAAGAACTTGGCCAAGCAAGGCTTTGTCATAAACTTGTGTCGAACAGATGGCGTTTTTGTTAGTCTGTAAGCAGGACATGCAATGAGTGCGAAGCACATTCGTGTCATATATAGAATACTATCAGAGCTCTTTAAGCAATAAACAGAACATACGTTAACGTTCCAGAATCTTTTGAAATACATTATAATATCCGTCGCATATCTACTGCCTTTATATCTCAATGAAAAATTATTCAATATTCATAGGTCTTTAAAAGCTTTTTGTAGTAACCTACTTTACCTTATCAAAGAACAGTTACCACAGAAATGAGTCAATAGATACGGCAATACTTGGCGCACGCCATAAACCCGACCCTGGGTAATAAATATCAACAGCCCCATTTGTGTCTGAATGGGCTTTCGTTGCATTTAAGTAGTAAACCCTTTTGGTTTCACGTCACTGAGCAAAGGCTTAACATATTTTCTGTTATGCCCACATTGTTTGCCATTTGTGGAGTTGAAAGTTGTTGCAGATTATTGAGCTGGCCAAGGCGAGGGTCGTGGGTTGTTGGCAGCTCGCCTCTGAATCCATAAATCAACTGTTTGGCCCCCACATGGGAATATGGTGCGAGCATTATTTGTTTGCCGGGTTGCATGCTTAGATTTCTTTCTGCAAGAAGAACACAGAAAGTTCCAGTCGAGTGTGCCAGACTAAGAGATAACTTTAACCTCGCACTATCTGTGTTATTAAACATATTAAATATAATTGAATGACTGTAGTTCGATAAGGGTTTAAATCGATAACACTGAAATAAAAAGAATTAACGATTATTATAGTGTTGACGCTTAAAAAACTAAGGCTAATTCTCGATTTTATTTGAGCCGGTATCCAAAATTTAGAAAAGTAATACAAAAATGTTAGGGTATTTCTAATACATAGCGTTTCGATAAGGCTTATGATTCCTAACATTAAAAAGGAGCTAATTTGAAACAAACATAATATATGCGCATGCTTTAGACAGACTTACAATAAATTAATAAGTCGGTAGCTCTTAAATGTTTTGAGATTGACGCGATTGTAGTTGACTAGATCAGCATACGCTGAGAACTTTATATGCTTTATAGGAATACAGGCCTTTTCCCAGTGACACAAATGTGAACAAAACTATTAAGTCCTGATTTCCCATTTTAATTTGGTACAGGGTATAATAATGTGAACATAAAAATTTTGTATTGATTTGCATTGCGTGTTGTTGGCTGAGCTCCGTTAATAGTTTGGCCCGCTCCACTTGAAATCCAAGTGGCAACCTTGAACGAAATTGATAACTCTCGCTAATGTGGCACTAACTATGCATATTAGCTCAGTATTTCGTATTGTGGTTTCCCTTTGGCCTATCGTGTGCCACTTTCCGAGTCTATTAATAGTTGGTTGAAATCGCAGAGACTCCAAAATATATCTTGCCATGGCAATGCACCCGTGTGCCATTTACGATCCGCATAGGTATTGCATCTAAGTTTAGAAGCGTCTGCTGCAGTTTTATTTTTATATACATATACGTTCTGGGTGCTTTGGCACCCATAGCTACCGAAACCTCTGCAAAACATCAGACAGCGAACATTCTTATCTTATCTGAAAAGAAAGATAGAAAACTCAGACCTCTACCAAATCGACAATTTCATAGTAATTAACATTGAAAGAGCTACGAGCTGCCAGAGCATTAGCAATGAAAAATTACAAACTGACCTAGACGCCGACAACCTAGCCAAGAGAGATGATGACTGGGACGCTATCAATGACGGCGGGGCGACGCTTCACGCTGTGCTGTGGCTCAATATAATGTGTTCTCTGAACAGCCTACAGTTAGGTAGCATTAAGAATGTCTCGAAGAAAGTTGAATTTGTGGAGTTATTGACCTCGCGCAGCAGCAGCTGCTGGGGTACCAAATCTTTTGTATCTTTTGTGTAGTCGCCGTCTTTGCATAACTTTCATATGATTCATGGCATTTAAGCGGAGCTTCCTTTGTCACTCGATATGGTACACTGAAACAAAAGAGGTCACATAAATAATATCAACGCTTAAATTGAGGAAATTTATAAAGATATAAGGAGTTCAATAATCGTGAACTGTATATTACGGTGCTAGCGAGAAACCTTGAAGGCATATATTTATGTTACATATGACCAGTATCAGCAAAAATTTTCAAATATTTATGGACAGAATTTGATGTTAAACTACAGTATGTATCGCGGTGTATATGAGATTTATAAAGAGATCTAAGCTGAAATAAATTTTACTTCAATTTAGGGTATGACCTAAATTATTAAAATTAAATATGTATTTATAAATAATTGAAATTTAAAGTATAAATCCATCTATAGGAAACATACTATATATGTATTTATATTTTATATTTTATGCGAAGAAGTAAACATCAATATTCTCAATATTCAATTTATTGTAGCGTCAACAAAATATCCACCTTGGCACCCTTTGAAGACTGCACAAAACTACAGGAGCTGTATTTACGTAAAAACAATATACAAAATATCAATGAAATTGGTTATCTACAAAACTTACCAGCGCTCAAATATCTCTGGCTAGAGGAGAATCCATGCTGTGAGAGGGCTGGGCCCAAGTAAGAATTATTATGTTATTATATACGTCTTATATATGAATACTAAATCGATATTTTGCAGTTATCGCTCGATTGTGTTACGCGCCTTGCCCAACCTAAAGAAACTGGATAATGTGGAGGTGACTCCGGAGGAGCTCGAAGCAGCCATACGCAACACCGGCCCTCAGCAGGCCGACGATGACGTCTATGAGGATGCGTATGAGCCAAAACAGCAGCAGCACCCGCACCCCCAACAGCAGCCGCAACTGCAGCGCTCCTCGCCTCAGCAGATACAGCAACAACAACAGCAACAGCAGCATCAACAGGGCTATCCACAGCAATCACCGCGACAGCAACAGTCATCTCCGCAGCAGCAGCCACCACAACTGTCGCACAGGGGCAGTTCGAGTCCCTTAAAAGAGGTAACTAACCTCTCTTTCTGTCTTGGTCTATCTATCTCTCAGTTCATTCACACACCCACGCCCGCTAATTAGGAATGTCATTGCTGCTCGTCATTTAACAAAGCACATTTTTCTATCCTAATTACTAACAAGCCGCCACAGTTAGCAAGCCCACTTGCCAATAACTCCGATGGAACGAATAACGGGGCGAATAATGTCAGCGATTTATATAGCAATCAATTGCAAAACTCAATGCCCCCAACACCCACAAAGGTAAATGAACGCAATGCGTTAGTTCAACCTGTTTATGACCTGTACTAATTGAGTGTCGTGGTTGAGAGGGAGGTGTTTAATAAACGGAGTGTTTAAGGGAATGACCGATAGTATATTTATATTATAACTTTTATTGCCTAATGAGTTATAAGTTGGCAATACGACACCGTGTGAATATAGTACTCACAATAACAGACTTGTAGAAAGAAAAAAAGAGTTTCATATGAACTTAGTCTATATAGTCTATTGAATAATTCATAATTTATAAAACATCCAAACACATTAAGATATTGATTATGTAAACTAATGTTTAATTTAAAGGATTTTGTAATATTCGGCTCCGAAATATAACACAACTAAACACAAAATTTGGGGACTTGCTTCATAAGTTGTGCGAGAAATAATTGTATAATTGATAACGTTTCAATCGATTTAAATGGGAATAGTTATCGACTTTTAATTTGCGCGAGCTTTGCAGGGACTTTTAATTTCAAGTCTGTATGATTTATGTGTCATGACATCGATGCGTTCAAGCTTAAGGACGGATAGCCGGATAGAGCTAATTGTCCTAATCAGTACATCTACTTCGTAGGGTCTGCTGCACCTCTTTTTGTCTGTTACATACTTTAAAAAAAATGTACCTCAAGTTCTCATTTTCAGGGTGTTCAGGGTATAAAATATGTGATAAAATATATACGTAAAAGCAACATTCAAAAGCTTTGCCTAAATTGGTTGAATATCATAGAAGAAACATGTCATTATATTAGCTATTAGCCAATTTAGGTAAGACCTCGATTTGTTGTTTTGTTGTAGACTAATCTATCTATAAGAGCGAAAATAACCGTTGTCTACTAAAATTGATATGTTTTCAGTCCGTGTGGAGAATTTAGTACTAATACTAACAAATATTTGGCATTCCATATTCTTTGATATTTCCCAGGAACCCGCACACCCGCCATCGCCCAAATATAACACCATAACTAAAGAGCAACGCACTTCCTTTCATCAATATGATGTAAGATCCTCATACTACCAAGCAGCCAAACAAATCAGCCAACCGTTTTAGCATTTATTAAATGAGAAATGATGAGCTTGTTGTTGCCGGGCCTAGTCAATGTAGAGTTAGTTGGATTTTCTTTTATTTGCATTTTGTATATATTTGGGCGTGGACACGTCACACTTGAGGCCCCACCCGACGCCCATCGCCCGCCTCTCATAGCCCTATTGGGCGGCGTGTTACGCGTGAACGAGTCACGCGATGTAGCAGTGGCATGGTTAAGGTTCCTCAGCTAGTCGGCTAGTGGGACCCATTGTTAGGCGGGGGCTTGGGCTGGGCTGGGGTATCTGGGTTAAGTCGTGGCACAACAGCAGCGTTTGACTTTGAGCGAACATCGCGCGTCGAGCAGCTGAGGGAAACTGAAACCGAGACGAGAAACATAATTACCGCAGAAGCAGCAAAACCAAAAGCTAACTGATAAAAAAATAGGTCATTATGTATTCAACAAGCAAAGTTAGAAGAGCTGGAAATAAAAAGGGGTTTGGCCCCGTCCAGTAAATAGACCCTCGGCACATTTTTGGAGATCCAATGTTTTTGTAGCGCTCACAGTGCTTGGGAACAGCAACAAGCTCAGCATTTCGAGATCTAAAATGGTCTGGTATTGAAATGGCAGACAACACAACTAACGTCTTTTTTGTGCTCCTCTCCCATAAAATAAACTAAAAACAAACGCTCCACGACACTAACCAACACAACAACGATTAGCATTCGCCGGGTTCTGATCAGGAGAGTCCGCATGTTGGCTACAGAGAGACGCGCCCAGCGCCCCTGCCGCCCAGCATGTCGACGCACTCGATGAAGGTAAAAATCGCTATTAAAAGACAGCTGAATGGTTAACGATTGATGAAGTTGGGGAGTTGAATGTTGTTAATGCTTTTTAATTATGTCATTTTTCTGCTTCTGCCATAGGAATACTATCAGTCGGATAGGCCCAGCTATCCAGCGCACTATCGGCACAGTCAAACGGATTTGACGGAGTGGGAGGAGCATCAACAGCCACCGCAGGTGCATCACAATCCCTATGGTAGCCAAGTGCAGCTGCACTATCCACAGCGACGCAGCGCCGGTCCCGAAACGGCTGGAGAGCGTTACGCTTACAGGAATGGAAGTGCGCGAGAGAATGGAGGCGAATGGGAGGTCGATGATCGGTCGAGACCTAGGTAAGCAACCTGATAATCCAATCCGAGTCGTTCAGTTTTAATCAACACTTTCTACGATTCAGACGACCCGAAGGTCGCTACAGTGATACGGTTAGTACCGTTTCTGCCTCCGTACTGAATCATTTTGGGGGTTGTCATCGACGGCCCGTCAATCGAGTGAGTAACTTCTTACGATATCTCATTGAGATAGTCGACTAATACAAGGTTATTTATTTGCTTTCGCAGAACTCGAATCTACTATCCGCCACTTTGTGCCTGGTCAAGGAGCTGGATTACGGCAGTCTGGAGGTTTTGGAGCACGCCGTGCGCTGTCGCATTGACGAACTGGCAGGGGAATGATGAAAACGTGTGTCTAATCGCATGTCGATTAGCTAATATTCTTAAGGGTCTACAAGATCCGCAAAGGAAACCGCGTCAGAGGGACAGTTGGTAATTTTTTTTTTAATTTAAAGACCAGAAAAAAAGACACTCAGTAACACGACTCGAAATTTTTTAACTTATCAATTTAATGAATTACAAAAATGTTTAAACAATACTTGCCAATTGTAACTGTAATAATTGTTAACTTTTATAAGCATCGATAAGCTGCAACTTTTCTAAATGAAATATATGATATACGTGAGATATATGACGTACGTAGAATATGCATATGATAATTAATACGAATTGTGTAAACTAACCCAAGAATTTATACGCTCTCAACGTTCTATATGTACAACTAATTTGATCGTTATTCTAGTGTATTTAAGTTCTTAACTTGTTTTTGTTTTATTTTACACTCGACATTGCAGTTGTGTTAATGAATTAGCAAAGTAAGAAAACAAAGCACAGAGATTGGGATAATTAATATACTAGCCACACTAGCCTTATTTTGTACTTAACAAGAAAAACATATAACGTCTAAGGCGTCCAGCACAACACAATACAATCTTCCTTGTTTTTTATAAATTAGTTGAAATGCTTAACTCATGATAATTATGGGCCGGGCTTTTGAAGCTTGCCAAACCTTTGTTGTTGAATATTTGTACACAACAATTTAACACTAATTCTTATACAAACTCGTCCACTTTAAGTCTATTTTCTTTTATAAAAATGCGTATGAAATTAATAAATAATTAACAAGCAAAACTAAATTTAATTTGTTTCATTGAACTGCCTCTTTGTTATTCTATAAGAAGCAGTTAAATACATATATAGCGTTTGGAATGAATCAATGCTTATACTGCTTGCTTTGAATGCCTCTTACAAGCAGTGTAATATTTTGAGAGGTGTGTGTCTGAGCTGAAATCCAGTTTTTTAGCTCAGCACAAAAACGATAAAGCAATGTAAAACGAGGTACGTACATCCAATACATACAACGCATTTTCAATACAACCTATTTAGACACCAACCACTTTGAACATAATCTAGATGATCTAAATTATAAGGAATCGCAATGCTTTCTTTGAATGGAAACAATGAGTTCGTTTCAATTCACTTCATATATTATAGTATATAAGATATTTATATACATTCCAACACTTATTCCCAATTACCATTTTACAAATAAAACACATACTTTTAGAGGGGCTTTACAACATATAACACATAATATATTTATATTTGACTTTTATGTAGGGGTGTTCAGTAGTACTCGGTTATAAATGTATGTATTTGGTTTCTCTGGTAAGCTTTTTGTTATGGTTGTTTTACATTTGCTGGAGTTTTGCCTAGCCTACATAAGCTGATGCGTGTTACTGTTATTTAGTTATTTTAGTGCTGCTAAGTATTTGTTTTAGTTAGTTAATTTGTTATATCTGCTGTTGCTGATGTTACGCTCTGACAACAATTCTATGCCAATTACAAGAAACAAAACATCAAATATTTCTTATTATTTTTTGTAATTGATGATGATGTTTGTTTGGTAAATGTATTATTTTTGTTATTATTCTTTTATTATTTTGAGTTAGCGTGTAACTCATTATGTTATTTCTTCGGCCGTTGTGTTCATGGCAGAAAAGCAACGCCTAATACATATACATATACATCAAAGTTAAGTACAATATTATGTACTTGAATATATTGAATATTTATAATGTTTTGTTTTTCTATATTAACTTGCTACACATTTATATATTGAAGCCGCAGTAAATCTTAAACAAATGTGCTCTGAAAAATTGTAATTTAATTTTTTCTTTTTTTTTTCTAATTGTGCAATTACAAACATTTAGGAGGTGCCAGATTATAAATATAGAATTTCTAATGTGTATATAATATATATTTTTTGAATCAGTGTAGCCAATGTTGTTTTTGAAAACTTTACACACTTAAAACATTCACTTTATTTAATATATATTTAATTATTGTCTGTCACAGCGTCGCGTTCGACACAACAACGTGTGCTAGCTTTTAAATATAAATAAATTATGGATGTTGATTAATTTTGGTAATCTATGCTTAAGCTCTTAAGAAACTAATCGCAAGAGATGTTGGTATCGCAATTGACGCATGTCTTCCAAAATGCTTGTTGTTGTTTGCTGAAATTGTCTTCTATTTCAAACAATGCGAAAAAATGTCTTCCAAACACTTTTTAGCATATACAATGTATATATATATTTATATATTTATAGAATATTTGTATGATATATTTATAGAAATATATGTTTATATTTATATATGTTATGCACATCGAGATATTTGCAATAAATACACCTATTTCATTAATGACTTCTCCTTCATCATCTGCATCTGCATCGAAAAACGTTGGAACGCTTTCCTCAATAAATGAGTCTCTGATTTGCAATCGCAACTCATTTTGTATAGACCAATATATGTATATATATGTGTATATATAATATATATGTATGTATAAATAAATATATATATATATATAAATATTTATTTATACATATATACATATATGTATATATTTGTTTATATGTCTATACATATATCTATATATATATATATATTGGATTCATATGGGTTGTTCAATAACCAACACTAAACTCTTGGTTAACATTTATAATTGTGACACGTAATTGATGCTGATATTGTTATATTTAGCCGAAATTATTATAATTATAAAGATGTAATCAACTTGTCCTTCTGCCTTTGTAAAATTGATATGCTGATTCCATTAATGAAATAAAATTTGTATTATAATAGAATTGCTTTCTTTTTCTTTTTTTTTATGTGTAAATAATTGGTTTACGACGATATGTTGTGTATTTTTGATATTAATTGGTTGTGATTTCTACGTCTTTTTCTGTTCTCTTCTTCTGCTGTCGCCCTCATGACGAACAACTAATCCTTAGGTTTGTATTTGTGCAGGCATCGGCATCTGAAGAGCTATATCGGAGTTATATAGACCCTGATACAGATATAGATACCGCGCCGCACTGGAAGCCCTTTTGTGATTTGTTGCTGTTTCTCTTCTACAATCTGAGAACTTTAATTTTGAAGTGTTTCTTTCTATTATTATCATTATTATTATTAATATTATTTAGCTTACTATGTTCCATAGTACATTAGTTTTGTTAATTGAAATTAATTACAAATTAATTGATTCGCATAGGGAATTGTTTTTCTTTGTTTTGTTTTTTGCTCGCGGCGGCCTTTTGCACCGCCCTTATAATTAGATTTATATAGATTTGCCTTTCGTTTTCACTTTTTTTACAATTCAACTAAGAACAACAGTGAAGGTATATATAGAGACAACACTAGCATAAACACAAACGAACGACACCAAATCAAAGTGTATATTTTTTAGTGTACAACGAAAATAACAACAGAAATATTATATAGTTTCATATATAATTGGTTGTGATTTATGTACCTTCAGCCGAGCCGCGTTAGCTCAGATGAAAAAACGGCGATAAATCACAGTTGCACAAAGACCCGCCATCGCCAGTTTTGCAGAGAGTCTTGCACACTTCGTCCCAGTCCGGGGTGCCGTCGTCTTCAGTGATGGCCTTGGGCAGCATAGCAGCTCGCCGGACACCACTGGCTGCTGCACCTGCACCGGAACCATGTGTAGTCACACTCTGCTCTGTCCTGGCTCCATCCAAAACATCCAGCAACTGGCAAGGACTGCAACCGTTGAGCACGCTTTGTCGTTGATGGCAAAAACTCCTGCACAGGCGAGTGCCATAAGCTTCAACATCCTCAACTGTAATGGATAGAAACAAGTTTGGTGGTGAATAAGGAATTAAAATGTAATTGTATTTCTACTTTGTATATAAATTTAAATTTAGAAAAGTTTAAGACTTTTTAGAATATTTTTATGTTATAATTATTACTAAATATATATATATATTTTTCATTACTTTTAGGTTATATGAAATAATGAGCAAATTTTTGTATTACTATATGTTATTACTTAATATATATTTAATTAATTCTTTTTAGTAATTTAAAATCATGAGCTAATAATAAAGTGATTCGATTCTAAAATATGCTAGTTATTCTCAAATAACTAAAGATTTAGATTATTTAAGATCGATCTGTGTATATAACTTTAGCTTTAGAAGTTCATCGGCCTATGATTTCAACTCTACTTCTACTATTCTGTTATTTTGCATATGAATAAATTAAATCGGCTGATGATCCTGATAAAGACAATATACAAATAATGTCTGTACATCTACCTCTGGAATTCCTGATATATTCATATCAATAAAGAAAACAATGATCTATATACCAATTATTAAAAACAAAAAAAAAATACAAGCAGTAGAATATAGTAAAATGTAAAGTTATATATATAATAAAGGATATCTGAGGTATGTTAAATTTTAATTTGATATTATATGTATCATTGATATTTACGTTTTATCTAAGTTAGATGTCCAAGTTATTTATTGAATTATTAAATTATTAAATTAAGCTAAATTTGCTGTTATTATACTTTTATAGTTGCTAAACGCAAGACTACAAATAAATTTTAATTTGTGTTTTAAGAACACATGTACAAAATCTTATCGTTGTGAAGCTCTTGATTTCACTTCTTGTCGTTTTCTGTTACTCGATTGGGATCTTTACAATTAAAATTAGATGTTCAATATAAAATAACTTTATACAAAAAATATTTATAATTTTGTTTACATTATGTAAAAAAGGAAACTATATTTAATTAATTTTGTATTCATAAAGATTAAAAAAAGATTGGTACAAATTAGAAAATATTTCAGTACGCTGTATTATTATTTAATATTTTATATTTTTAAAAGATAATAAATCGCACTGAAGTACTAAAGACAAATATTTTGCAAATACTTTTGCTTACCTGGTTGTGATCCCTGCAGTTGCGTGCCTTCAACCAAATCAAAATCGTTGCTCAGGATCGCGATCATCTTGACGCCAGACGTCGCGCATTGTGCCGCACATGGCGCAACGCCGAGGCCAGCTCTAAAAATTTCATTAAGAAACGTAAAAAAAAAAATTAAATGGTTAGCACTTGAAAATGAAATTGATATAGGCCAAGCAGTAAGTGTTGGGTTATTTTGCAAACAGCTATACCATAAAGGTATTTCGGCTATCTGGAATCGATCGACACTCAAAATGTCACTGCATATCACTAACAAAATTTCACATATTTCACTCGTCAGCAAACGTCGAGTTCTATTGAAATAGATTTCACTAATTTGTCACACAGTCTGACAGCTTTTCTGCTTTGCGAGGATGATTATCGAATGTGAAGAACACTGTGATGTATGATGTGAAGTAATGCAGATAAGATTTCACTTGCACTGAACTGTTTGAGGTCTGGACTGGCTTGGTCTGGCCTAGTCTGGCCCGCTCTGGTCTAGCTGTAGGCGCAATTCGAATGCCAACTCTCGACTTACCCGCAGAGCTCTTTACACACCAAACTCCAATCCTGAACTACGCTAACGGACGTCAGAGCTGGCGACGGCGACGGCTGTCCGAGAGCTTCTTCAAGGCTTTGCTGTGCTGCTTGCAGCGCTTTCGTAGCATCCCCCAAAGCCTGCAGCAGTTGTGGGTGTTGTGACGTCACGGCGTGAGACTGCGCACAGCACACGACAGCAGCGACCAATAGCAGTCGAAACATGCTGGGGACTCAGGCTGAAAAGAGACAGCGCGAGAGCGAGACACAACAAGCGTGAGCATCAAAGCATATAACGGGAAAATAGTCATGGCCGCGCTGCACGTCGTATACTTGATATAAACCCTATGCGTGCGTATGTGTGGCAGATGGAGGTGCAGCTGTTGGCTGTTGGCTGCTTGAGTCCTGGCCGCCTGCACAATGGAAGCAATTGCGCTCGAAATGCAATTATCGCGCGCCTGAAACTAGGCAACAGCGCGCCGTTGCATGGATTCCATTGTTGGCGCCTCATTGCAATTGAAATTTAATGCGCTTGATTTGCCCGATTCAAAGAATTTCCATCCACGCCTTTGTTATGCTATCGCCCAGGCCCAGATCTAGCTGCTGAAATATCCGGATTCTGGATGCCTAAATTATCGATTTTTTTTTTCCAACAGTATCACGTGAGCTGCAAACATTTGGCTGTAGTCCATGTTGCTGTTTGAAACTCCGCCTGGCACTCGCACAGGCCACATGCCCACAGTTCGAAGTTGCCAGTGCGAGCGGGCGCGTGAATATATAGAACAGACACCTCTGGGTTACACACATACACACACACACACACACACACACACACCAGCACACCCACACGAATTTGGAATTTACTCCTTTTTTCTTTTTTAATTAACTTTTGCAGTTTTTCTTTGAGTCTGCCGATTTTTTTGACATTGGGATTTAAACGATTTAAATATTTTGGCCTATCTGGGTTATAAAGCCTATCTGCGCTACGTGCAAACACAGCCAGGTAAATATTCGCATCAGTTATATAAGTCGTGTTTTTTTTCTTTTGTGTACGGGTCTGTTGCTGGGTAACTAGAACTTAGCGTGGTTTTTTGGATGTGCTAAACTGTGTATTTAATACGAACTGAACACAACTGAAAATCCACTTTAACTAATGTGGAAATGCATCAAGATACACATACAACTCCAAATACTTAATGTTCTTAGACCAGGTAACAAATTTTTCAAATTTATACCCACACGCAAAGTGGATAATAAGGATTACTTTTCTTCAAACATCACTATTCAAGATAGAAACATTACTTATCGAACATGTAGAACCACGGCAGATAAATGCCTTAGTTAGTCAATTGAAACCTAAAGTATCTGAATCTGAAGTATATGTATTGATAGAAAGAAAATGAAATTCATAATAGAAAGAGAAAAAAATCATTGACTTAACAAATTTTCGCTTTCTTTAAAGGTCAAGAGTAAGAGTAAGAAATAATCAACTGCTGATGTGTAAATTAAGTTTGATTTTATATGTATGTGTATATAATACATTTAAGCTTCCACATGTTTCTTTATTAAATTTAGCTAGTATTCCGTTTGATTCGTTCGTCTATTCCATTAAAAATTTAGTTGTATATTTTCTTTTGTACTCACTTCTCACTCAATGAACATTCAAAATGAAATTATTATTGCCGATTTATTCGTATTGAAATTTGTATTAATACAAAGTTCACTTGCTGTGCTCCGCGCGTTTCGAATCACAATTTATGTTTGGCATCCGTACGGAATACGCCCAACTTATAAAAGGCCGGGTCGGCTAACTAACTGAAATGGGGGACAACAACAATCCGAATATCAGACTCGTAGCAGCGAAAGCTAATTGTTATTAATAATTATAAACATATATACAATCGTTATCAGCAACATACAGGTGAAATCGTTGGGTGTGGCCTGGAATGTTCCGTGTGTCAATTTTCGGTACATTTTTGTGGAGTTGACACTTTGGATCCATTGCCTTTGATCAGAGATAGGCTGAGGCAGGAGTACTTAATTATTATTGGCAGCATTTGCCTTTCGAGTAGGCTTTTGCCTGATAAGGCCATTCGGACAGTCAGTTATTACAGTCGATAACAATTATTGGGAGAAAAATTAATAATAATAGGCGACGCAATACATCGAAATAAGTGCCTGGTGTTCACGGTTCATTTAGGTTTATAAAGCGAAAGTCATGGAAAACAAAATATAAACAAATTTATTGAGGCTTATCACAATTGGCAAAACATAAGGATCTGCATTGAAATGAAAGATAATAAAAATCATGATCAACTCGATTGACATTTATTGCTGTTTGATTGATGGGCAACTGTATTTTGCATTGCAGCCAGCTAGATCCTACGATACCTAGTGTGACTCCGTGACTGAGTCTTGTGTGACCATTAAGCAATCTTTTGATAAACTTTAAAAATATTAAAACTAATTCTAGGCTAAAATCATTTTCTTGGTGTGAAGTGCAGAATGTTATGGGGTAATCTCATAACTTACTTTAATTATTAGTGTGTTGGTCTCTTACACACATAGGCTTACTATATATACTATTAATTTAAATTTTGTGGTGTGTAAATTTAAAAACAACCAATAAAAACGGTAAATCTGATGTTTTTTAATTATTTTATTATTGTCAAGAATTAAATTTTTATTTTTAATATTTTCGAAAAAAATTGCATAATATTTCTTTGTTTTTTCCCCAAATAATAATGTTATCGCATATCCATATGTTATGTATGTAAATAAATAACTTAGCAGAAAAGGACTATGTAGTAGCCAAAACTCTTCAAACATTGTAAAATACCATTCACAATCACAATCACAATCATGTAGTTATAACAAAGAGTGAAATAAATTGAAATTGAAAATTGAAAAACGGTAAATCTGATGTTTTGTAATTATTTTATTATTGTTAATAATTAAATTTTTATTTTTAATATTTGTTATTAATGTAATGTAAAGTAATGTAAAATTATATATTTTTTTTATATTTTCGAAAAATTAATAGTTGCACAATATAATATTATATTAATATTTTATAAAATAATAATAATATATTTTAAATATAATATTTTTAATACCAAATATTTTGTTATCATTAAAGTGGCTATAAACCTATTGCATATATTACAAAAAAAAAAAAAAAAAAAAAAGAATTATAAAATAAATACCCCTAAGACGACTTAAACGGCAGGGCTTTGCCAAAACAATGGGTATACAATAAATATTATTATTATTATTTTTCTTTTTTTCTCAGTCCTCACAAATTGAGTGAGGTTTGGCTCTAATTTTATGTATATATATGTGTTGTTAAAGTACTATATGTGATTGTACAGTTTCTACACTTAATAAACCAAATTAAAAAAAAAAATAAAATAAAATAAAATAAAATAAATAAGTAAATGAAGACAACCCTTTCATTCCTTATTATTTATAAGTATATTATGTTACAGTCATTTCTTGAATTTCTTGCTGCTCCCTCATTGTGTATTTATTTAACATTTAAGATATTTTAAGAACAAAGAAAAGAAATGTGTAAGTACTCGAGTACAAGGCAAGGTAAGGCTTTTAAGAGCTTAACAAAGTTTTGTGGGACGAATGCTGTGATTGAAATGTCGCCTGCATGCTCGCAGATAAGAGAATTTAGTTTAGAAATGTTTTTTGTCGGCCTCTGTTTGCGTTGGCAACTTGGCTACTTGGTCAACAGTGCTGGCAGTTGCTTTGAGTCCTTTTACCTTGTATTCCAGATTGTGCTGTGTTGGCATGCTCGAGTGAATGCCAAGTAACATTCAGCGTTAGATAAGTTGCCCCCAGAAGTATGCTACGGAAAATCATTGAGATGCAAGTAATGCAATTGAACCGTGTGGGCGGGACCCCTGTCGGTTCCCTTGTGAAATTTGTTTGTATGTGTATGTGCGAAAATTCGTGTAGGTGTTGGTGTTTCCGTTTTGCAACTCTTGCTTTGACCTAAATTTCTGCGCGCCACGAAAAATCCATAACTACCCATAAGACAACACACATATGTGCTCAGATATAGCATACATATATGTACAATATAAGCCAATGTTTTTTTTTTCCTCAGATATAAAGCAATTCCATTAAAATAGCTGAAGGTTTTTTCATAGCTTTCATATATGTTTGCACAAATTGCGCCTTTCTTTCGGCCAAATGGCAATAAAAAACTTTGGCATTGTAAATGTCAAAAACAGTTGGAAAATTAGTTTGTTAATTAGCTTTTCATTCTGCCACATCACATGGCAAAAACAGACAAAATGCCCGGAGTGCAAAAAATAGAATTTATCACAAACAACAACAACACCAGGCACTTAAAATGTTGAAAAAAAAAGAAAGAAAATAGTCTGGGGGCCAGCTGAAAAAAGAGTTGGGGATAAATCCTTGTTCTGCGAGGCGTGCGCAGTGGCAACAGCTGCTTGGCTGCTCGTGTATGTATCTGTTGGATACGTAAAAAGGCGGCCGCCCATTTAAGTGGCTCCGCCCACAGAGTGTGCCAAGATGGACTCCGAGTGAATTGGTGACGTCATGGCCTGCCTGCGCAGTTTGGCGCCCAAAAACTGGCGAAAATATATCTGCATATATACGACGTGCCCATACATAGGAGCTGGTCAGGTCTTTGCTGTTGTGAAGGTTATGTAATACACAGCTCGATGTATGCTATATAAGTGTATTTGTGTGTGTGTGTGTGTATGTATGAGTGGTGTGTGGGTGTTTAGGTAGGCAGCCATTTTGTGCGTGGCATCGCAAGCTTCGTAGGCAACCCAGGCGGATGCTGCTGTTCATAGCTCCGCAGATCGTCAGCGAGTGTAGCTGCTTTTCGTAAGCATCCAAAACTCTCGAACGCAGCTCGTCACAGTTGGTCTTGTGGCTCCGTCCCGTTCGGTTCAGTTCAATCAAGTTCTCAGTTCCAAGTTTACGCGAGTGTTGTGCAGCCGAGTTTTGTAAGTTGTAGCTATAGCACAATTTAGTAGTTGCACCTGCCACCAATTCAATCGCATTCTAGGTCATCTCGATAGCTAGCTAGCTAGAACTAGCTTAGTCAAGCGCTCATTTTGCACTCGCTCGATCGCAAACGTCATTTGTTGTTTGTTATTGTTCTTGTTATTCCCCGCATCGCACATTTTCGCTCTTCACACGTAATTGCCAGTAAAGCAGCCAAAGTGAATTTCTTAAAGCAATACATCGACGATATCCGCAGGATAATCGGTAAGATATCCTATACTACACGCACACGACAACAAAAACATAAAGAAAAGAAAATAAAATGTTTTCTTCTTTTGTAAACACACTACTCACTCTTTATCCGAGTGTCTGTTACATAAGTTAAGGTCCAGGTTTAAGGTTTTCCACATTGATTACAGCTGTCGCCTTGTCTGTATCCTGTACATAGTCTCTACACACACACACACACACACACATAGATGCCCACGCAGGAAATAACGTTAACACTCACTGCGCAATAGCAGATGCTGCTCAGCATAATATTGTATATGCACATTCAGTCCAGACCCAGACCGAGTCCTAGTCCCAGTCTCCTATCAAATCTGCGTACATGCATTGCTGGCCTTATATACAAGTATGTATATGAGACTGTGCCACCCACACTCACTCGCCAATTTTGTCCTTCAGTTGTCCTTGCACACACGTACACACACATTTGCCTATGGCCATTTTCATTTCTGTTTATTTACTTAGCCATTGCATTTTCACGCTGTTTTTCATGGCGTTGGTTATGTAATTGGAGACATTTACATATTTATCACTCGGATATTGTGTAACACCTAGCTCCCTCTTGCCACTTTGCATACATATGTTTTCATCTCTATTCAGTGTTATATAATGTTACGAGCATTTGTTCATTAAACAGACAGCAGGCATTTGTATATAGATTTAACTTTAATGATCTCTCTATATTTTCTTCGATTTTGTTGCAGAGGAGAAAATGTCGCTCAATCCGAACGGGTATAAGCTCTCCGAAAGGACGGGCAAACTAACAGCATATGGTAAGTTTATCTATAATATAATGTATGTGCATATGTATATATAATATAATACTATATAATATTATAATACAATTGAGTTTTAAAAAAATTTTTTTTTGAATAATGAAATATATTAATTTATAATTAGTATGGTTGAATATTTCCATTATAAAACATTTCATACATTTATCAATATATTTCAATCAACATTATAACTAAGAGAAATAGATCGTAAAAAAAGCAAAAGTAGTTGCATTATTATTATTTTTTATTTCATATGGAACGCATTTGACTGATTCTATTTTCTCATAGATATAATATTTATTTATTTATTAATACTATTATTTTTTTCATTTAAGAGTACAGCATACATTATCCTTTTTTACTTAAACAAATAATTTTATACAATGGAAATTGATATGATTTTATATTCTCATAGATATAGTTTTTAAAATAATATTATGAACATAATGTTTCTTGGGAAAAATGTATAAAAGAGCAGAGACTTCACATTATTTTCTTCCTAACAATCAATAAAAAATCCCGCTTTTTTTATCGATTAAACACCTTATCGAAAGTCAGTTAGATAATAATATTTCCTACATATTTAGAGCTACATTGTGAGCATAAATTAATGTGTGTTTTATAGAGTTTCGATTTTTGTTATATTAATTATACTTGATATTTGGATTTGCAATACAATAATATACAATAGTATAGGAATATTGGTGATTGGATTGGTTGATTTAGCTTAGCTTTCCACATCCATATCAGATTTTAATATAGGTCAGATTCATAATACATTGGGATGAAAATTCCATTAAGTATGATCTATTGTAGAAATATTAGGTATGCCAGAAATCTGAATATAAATATCTGCTGTAAGATATTAGTCTTCTGTATTAATCAGTTCTCATAGTTGTGAGTCCACTGAGATCTATTTGCTCAAGGAATAGCAAATGAGAGGTGTTAAACTGACACGAGCAAACAAAACGAGCAAAAAAGACGACCGCAAGGCCGTACTTGAGTAACAAACAGACTCTCGGCAAACACATTGGTCTGCTGTCGAGGACACTCACTGCCAGTTACAGTCCTTGCCAGGGACCTTGATAAATTGCTGCGTCGCTTGACTTCAGTGATGCGTGAAACTGGCGAATGCCTTGTAACAGATTTTCCCAACAGCAGACAAACAGACAAACAGAGAAACAGTCATATAAACAGACAGAGAGTGAGAGAGAGAAAGAAAGAGAGCGAGCGACGCACCAAAAGTCAAAGGCATCCAACCACCACCAAGCTGGATGCAGGCCCAGAATAAGGCACAGAAAGGTGTCTGCAAGACGCGTGCCAAAAATTGAAAGCACAACAAACATAAACCGTTTAGTCACAGGATATTACGTGCGCTTACATGTGAGAGCGGGACGGGGCTAGCCAGCCAGACATACGCACGTACATACACTAACATACATGTATATGTGCGCAAGAAGAATCGGGATCTGGGGTTGCTGGGGTTCAGGCAGTGGGAGTCCTGGTCACGGCTGTGTCTGACATTAAGCGCACGCGGACAAGTTTTCGCTTATGTGGGCAGAGCACATTGAATTTTATTTAGCTTTGCCGTAAACTTGAGGAATTTCGAAATTGCTACAATTTGTCTGCTACGCTGGTGTCCTGGTGCTGCCAGGGTTGATCGGCGGCCTATTTGAATTGAAAATGGGCCGGCTTCATGAAATGCGCTTTTAATGGCAATTATGCGCAACGTTAACTTTCCAATTGAAGAAGACTCTGACTCGAGTCCCTTACTCCAACAACACCATTTTCATTATAAGCGCAGGCAATTAATAGCAAAAACCACAGTTAAGCATAGCCAAATGTCCACGGAGTTGGCCATCCCCAAAACTCAAACTTGGGCAGCATACGGCGGTAAGCCATAACACTTAAAACAAATAATTTTTATATGCAATATAATAACAAAAGAAAGGGAACAGCTTAAAAATATTTTGCATAAAATATATATGGCATTAGGCCTTTAATAAATAGATATAGAACAAGTAAGACTGCTCTAGTCGAGACTGCTCGACTAGGGCAGATCCTGAACCCTTCCAGCTGATATTTTAATAATTCTGCATCTCTTTTGCACACACATACAAAATCATACATACATACAAATGCATCCACACCCACGCATAACCACGAGTTCTGCTAACTGCGCAGTTAGCAGCGACTGCGCTTGGGCTGCGCTGCAGTGTGGGCAATAATATGAGAATATATTTTTTGAAAAATTTCTCTTGTAGTAGGACTATCTACCTGAAAGTTTCAGAGCGTGATCGTATGGTTTAAGTATCTAGTGAATTACGGGCGTGGTATTCAAAATCTGTAAATTACAATCTTTGTATTCATACTTTGTATATCTTTGTATATATACACAGTAAATCGGAAGTCTCGGGATCTAATAGTGTTCAGATTAGGCTGAAAAAACAAAATCAATTAATCGATTATTCTCGATAATAAGATATCGGATGAGCTATCAAAAAATATAACAAACTTGTACTGCGTATGGTATACACGAGTATGCATTCAAAATGTCAGCTCTCTAGCTCTCATAGCTTCTGAGATCGGGTTGCTCATTCGGACGGACAGACGGAGAGGGCTATATCAACTCAGCTCGTCGTCTTGAATATATATACTTTGTGGGGTCTGCGATGCTTCCTTCTGCCTGCTACATACTTTACACAAAACCATTATACCCTGATTTCCCATTTTCATAGGTTCAGGGTATAATAATCTTCTGAGATCGACGATATGTGTGATCATATTAATTCGGCAAAAAATATGTTTCCCACTTTTATTCACGAGTCCAGTATTTAAATTTGGTGACACTCTATCTTTAATACATATATTGAAACCTATTATAGACCAGCTCGGTACAGTTAGAATATACAAAGTCGAAAATAGAGATTCGACTGCTTGTTTGTTATTTCGTGTCAGATGTCAACAGCAGGAAAAGACTTAATTAACAATGTATACTTTGTATATAAAATAAGAAATAAATCGCACCTCATACGAAATAATCCAGGGAGTTAGCATACTCTATTTCAATATATGTATAAGGTATATAATGTTTATATTTTATAGCGAATAGGTGCAAATTTTACACAGAGTTTCAATATTCAATAATATTTAATTTGATTTAAAATGCAAGTCAGAAGTTATAAACTCTTATATTATATTCTGCACAAGTATTAGATGTAAATGTGAAATCTGTTTTTTATGGCTCAGCCGTTTCAATTTCAAATAAAGCCCGCCCACAAATCATCATCAAAATAATAATCATATATCATAACAAGCGCGGCGGCTAGATAAGGCAAAAAGCCATTTTCGCTGTCAGTAGCAGCGCACGCGCCACCTTTTTTTATGCCTAACGATAAGAGATGAAGATAGAAGCTGGAGAGAGATAGGGGGATATATCGAAGGCTGAGGCTGTGCTTTAATTCCACTGACAATACGTATTCTTGCATCTTTTTATCCAGATCTCTTGCCCACGACAGTCACCGCTGGAGCAGAGACTCGTGAATTTCTGTTGAAAGTAATCGATGTGCTCTTAGACTTTGTCAAGGCAACCAATGATCGAAATGAGAAGGTGCTGGACTTTCATCATCCGGAAGATATGAAGCGTCTGCTCGACTTGGACGTGCCGGATCGGGCGCTGCCGCTGCAGCAGCTGATTGAGGACTGCGCCACGACGCTCAAGTATCAGGTGAAGACAGGTAAGTGGCATGGCGATAGGCATAGATGGAACTGAGTCGGACCTTCCCAGGGGTAGCTTATCATATGTTTACACAGTCAGCCACTCGGCGTTAATCAAATTTGTCTCTGCATAAATTTGCATGCGCCGCAAACACCAAGCATATGCTCCGCAGGGCGCGTGCCCGAACAACTTGCGGTCGCATTAGGGCACAAAGTGTGCAGCCTTGTAGATAAGCACATTAGCTTCGAGGACATCGCAACAGACAATGCCATTTTATGGCCCATTGAGCTGTGCTCGTCCCAGTTGTTTACACCTTTCAAAAACACTCGTCCGACCCCATTCAAAGTGGACTTAAATCTGAAAAACTGACTTGCCATCAATCATAAATCAGCCAAAAGGGTTCTAAATGCGGCTTTAGCAGCCAAAAGTCATTCGCACGTTTCGCTTTATGTTGGTTTTTATATACGATGCCCATTGAAATTGAAAAAAAGAAGGTATATTGATTTAGTTTGAAAAGTTATTTGATTGAGGTCGCAGGATTATGAACTAAAAATGTTTACTCTGACCTAGCCATATTAGTTTAATCCGTCAAAGCTTGTCCATTTCATATACTAGATTAGAGTTCTATTGGTGGAAGTTTTAATTTAGATTAGAGATTAGAAATTTTAATTTTTAGACTTTGGAGTTTAATATATTAAATTTATAAATTTATTATATTGAATATCATATGAGGGAAATATATAACAAATCTCTGAGATTTATATAGGTATGGATTTATTCGAAAATACAATCATATTTTCAATAGTAAAATAGAAACTATAAACCTAGCGTTTGCTACAGGGTATATACTAGTCCGGCATTCTCAAAAGCTTATTTCTCTAGTTTTTCATTGAATGTGAATACTCGCCTGATTTCATTGAAAATTAATGCAAGGGGCGGACAACGGCGGGCGCGCACGTGACCGCAATTCTGTTTGGAGTATCGATAATAAGCACCGCCCAGCCCCGGATGCTGCGGCCTTGTCTAGGAAACTGCGCTAGCTTCCGTCCACCCCGCCCAGTGGTAAAAGAAGGAAATTACACCGGCTTGTTGGAACAGGAAGAGAAGCTGTCTCGGCTTTTGGCTTCTACTGTTCTCAAAATTGAATTAAAACTAGACTGAAATAACAATGTAATCAGGCAGAAGCTGCATAAACAAAGTTTTGATTAGATTTGAAGCAGGGAATTACGAATAGAATGTGGTAAAATATTGGCATAATATAGACATAGTTAGCAAAAAAAAAAAAAAAAAAAAAATTGCCACACATTTTGTCTCTTCAATAGGGTAGATAAAACAAATAATAAATATTGAAGGTTTTAAAATAATTACCATCAAATATTTTCCATATTGAATTAGAATTATCTTTTATATTATTATTATCATATTAAAAATAGAAATACAGAGTGAATGTGTTAAAATTTCACATATTCTCGCATTTTTCATTGACGGAATTTCCCTTCTGGCTAAACTAGCATGATATAAATCCCATTTATGATCCATAATCTCACATAATGCACACCCCACCACAGGGGAAACATGATATGCCAGGCACGAGAGCCTTCTGTCGAGAGGCTTTCTGTCTGTCTCTCGCATGTGGACGACTCTATATAAAGGGGAGCTTTAATCAAAATCCGTTGTTATTTTCTGACTCGCTGCATTCCTGATCCTTTGATGCGAATGAATGACTGACTGCCTGACGCTCTGCAAGGCAGTCCTAAGCTCGTGTCTAGGTCGAGGGTGATTCAAGTCCTGTGACTCGAAGAGTCCTCGTTCCTGCCAGCAACTGAGGCCACATTCGCAAATTGAAATGTTTGGATGCCGACGCTTTTATACACTGTCTGTGTATAAGTGTGTGCGTGTTTGTGTGTGTGTGGGAGAGTCTGGGCGGATGGATTTAGCCTTGTGGCGAATGGGATTTTAATCACACGACTTATGGCACTCAAGATGTGAACTGACAGACGCCCAGAGCGACGCACACGAAGGGTTCGCAGGACATTTAGCGAGGGGACTTTCGACAGCTTCCTGATGCTCCTGCTGCTCCTGCTGTTTGTACTGAAAGCATTTTGTGATTTTTCGTGGGATTTCAGTGGAGTCGCAGCAAGTCGCAATTAGCTGCAATAAATGAACAATTTAAGACACACCCACACACACGCACACAGACGTAAATTCCCTGTTTGACTAACAATGGACAAGCCTAGCGCTTTAAGATCTGGGCTCCATTGATTTTTCTGACCCCGAACAGACCGTCAACAATGTTTGTCGGCCTCGTCTGCCCTTGAACGCATGCACATCCGGCCTTGTATTGAACGCCAGTCAGCCGTGTTTGGTGCTCGGGTCGCCAGCCGGCTGTTGCTTTGTTTCAGCCGAAACATTTTTAATAAAACAAAAAATTGTAGCATGAAAGATGGCAACACAGCTGCCAGGCACATCTGCTGTCAGCTTAACCAGATCCAGTTGACAGACAGCCATGGCGAAATACGAAAAACAAAATACGAAAGGCGGTAGATTGCTGATGGAAGGCGGAATACGGAAGACGGAAGGCATTTTCAGCTACATTAAACAAGCAACTCAAATTTCTGCTCCACAGGCCATCCCCACTTCTTCAATCAGCTGTCGAACGGCTTGGATCTGATCTCCATGGCTGGCGAATGGTTGACCGCCACTGCCAATACGAACATGTTCACATACGAGATAGCCCCGGTGTTCATACTCATGGAGAACGTGGTGCTCACCAAAATGCGTGAGATCATCGGCTGGTCCGGCGGAGACTCGATTCTGGCGCCCGGCGGCTCCATTTCCAATTTGTATGCCTTCTTGGCCGCTCGCCACAAGATGTTCCCCAACTACAAGGAGCACGGCTCGGCTGGCTTGCCCGGCACCTTGGTCATGTTCACATCGGACCAATGCCATTACTCGATCAAGTCTTGCGCTGCTGTCTGCGGCCTCGGCACCGACCACTGCATCGTGGTGCCATCCGATGAGCACGGCAGGATGATCACTTCCGAGCTGGAGCGCCTAATACTGGAGCGCAAGGCCAAGGGCGACATTCCGTTCTTTGTCAACGCCACGGCTGGCACAACTGTGCTGGGTGCATTCGATGATATCAATACCATTGCCGATATCTGCCAGAAGTACAACTGCTGGATGCACGTCGATGTGAGTAGCCATTGAATCTCGTAGAGGGCTGCTAATGGAGCCTACATATATCTATTCCATATATCTTTTCCCCAGGCTGCTTGGGGCGGTGGGTTGTTGATGTCGCGCAAGCATCGTCATCCCAGATTCACAGGAGTCGAGCGGTAAGTTCATTAATAAAACTGATTTCATCTTCAACACTCACATTGGGAACTACAAAATATTAAAGGCAAAGATGAAGACGATTTAAAAGCAAAATAAGCAAAATAATATAATTATGATAAATTAATATATATATATATATATATATATATATATATATATATATATATATATATATATATATATATTTTAATTACAAATATGTTTATTTTTAATATATTTAAATAGCAATATCATCTTTGCAAAGTTTATTTATTTATTAAAAAAAAATTATAATATTAATAATCAATTTTTCTGGGATATTGAGAGAGATATTACAAGTATTCAGTTTTAATCATTTTATTTAATTTTCTATTTATTTTGTTTATTTGTTTGTTATGTTATAATATATTATTGTGTTGATAACAAAAATTGGAGACAAATGTAAATAATTAATCAATTTAAAAATAAAATAAAAAACTAATCAATTTTTCTGGGATATTAAGAGAGATATTAAAGAATATTCAGTTTCAGTTCAAAAATATCCTCTAGACCTTAACTCTAACATTCTTCAATTAAAGCCCATATATAATATTTACTTTTATAAAGCTGTTTCTCGAGCAAATTCAAATGTACTTTAAAGCACATCAAGCTAAAGCCAAGTCTGCTGCATTGTCTTTATGAAGTCTTTATGTGCCTGACAATAAGTTGACTGATTTATCATCTGCCCTCATATTCGTGCAGTCAAAACAAGAATTGAAATCTCTTGTTGTGCAAATTTAAATCTAAATGCTCCCAAATGGCCCGCATCGTTCAAAGTCCAAAGTGCTTACAGGGCGAGCCTTCAGCGACATGTGGTAAAAATCTCAATTTGCCATTTAGTGCTTCCATCAGGTGTTCAGAGCTTAACGGGATTACAAGGCCCAAAGCCGAGTGCATTTTCGTCTGCGTCAAAGACAAACAAATGAACAAAGTGGATATTCAACCCGCGCGTCCTTGCAACACTCACTCAATTGCCACCCTTCCGCCTGGCCGTGATGCAGGATGAATGGGTGTATAGGTGGTTGGGTGGTTGGGTGGCTGGGTGGTGGGCATTACTTACACAACAATTACGCCAAACAATAACCGGAGGGCAGATGAGGCGGCTGCTTCCCTTAGATGGCTGAGCAAGGAATTTTTAATTTTAAAGTTAAAATCGGAGTCCGTAAGTGCACTTTACGTAACTCCCGCCCCTAGCAGCCGGAAGTGCCAGAGAGCTTAGGCAAATGCCACCGCCGTTGCAGCTGTCGTATTGACAGTTTTGCGGTCAAGGGAGAAGTGTCCCATAAACACTTTCAAATTGATGGGCCCCATCCATCAAGTGGGCATTCAAGTTCAATTCATTTGGCGCCCAAATCCTGGTTGGCATGCAAATTGCGGGCCCTAATTGAACGGCTCTCTATAAATTAATCATTAAATGCGCGTGCAGCTGACATCTTGTGGGCATTGGCAGCTAAGCCCGAGTTGATTAATGGCATTCGGTTCCAGCTGCTAGGAGATGCTCTTAAATCGGCTTAGCTTGCGGGAAATGGCTAAAACAATGCAAACTTTTCGCCACAGCTTGGCGCTGCACAAGACACAAGAACAGTGTCATTGATAAAACTTGTGGCATGCGCCACATGCCGCCACTCAAGCTGAAGCACGCTCACAGTGGCACTCCATAAGCATCATGTTTATAGACACCCACCCACACGGAGCTGTAAATAGCTGCCCTTGGGGGATGTTTAGTGGCGTCTGTCGACCCTCAGGCTTTGGGGTTGCGCTCGCTTTGAATTCAATTAAAGCTCTGCGGCTTCAAATTGCCACAATTTATGGCACTTGCCAGCAAGGAAGCTTCTGTCCTTGTCGCCGTCCTTGTCCCGGCGGGGTGGCTGCGCGCGAGGGTTGGCACTGGATTCGCACAGACCGCATAGCGTGGGAGCTTAGTGTTAATTGTTTGTAATTTGTAATTGAATGTCATTTAATATATATTGTTGCTCGACCTGATTTGACTTTTGCAGCGCGGATTCTGTCACCTGGAATCCACACAAGCTCATGGGAGCCCTGCTCCAGTGCTCGACTATTCATTTCAAGGAAGATGTAAGTACTGAAACTGTTTTTGAATTTATGCATCAGCGAAATTTGTGTTAGTAATATTAAACGATAAACAGAAACAAAATCATGAGAAAAGATATATATTCTCTAAGTAAAAACAGGTTCGCTACTACTATCATAAAATAGTAAGAAAATTTCAGAAAGTTTAACTGATTTTCGGACCGATTACTCGTAGGAATGAAATATTTATTTTGGACATATTGTCAATTATGACAAATAAGCTAATTTCCTAATTTTTTATGGAATTCCAATAAAAATGGTTCTTTTGGCAAAGTTGGAACGGGAAATGGGAAAAGGAATGCTCTCCTTAAAAAGAAATTACTTTAAAATATTAATAATAGAATACACCGAGATTGAGAAGGGTTTAACATGGAACACTGCAACTCACTCTCACCTCGCTCGCTATTCTCATCCAGTATAAAATTGTATAATATTTCATATCAATTTTTTATCCAGCTCACAACAGTCTATAGTTGAAATTAAACTTAAAAATTAAAAACATACATTACAAAATTTTATCAATACTTATGCCACTTTACAAGCTTTTATTCGCGAGTTTCGAGATTCAGAGCAGTATTGTATGTCAGCTTTGCATTTTGTCTGATATATAATAATATTGATCATAGGTAAGTCACTTAGAAGATGTTACTAGAAGATGGTACTAGCCTTTCGTCAACTCTTGTCTGACCTTGATGATAAAAAATAACTAATATTATAAGCAAATTTTACTAAATTAAGGTCAAGACTTGAAACAAGAGCGTTGCTTATAAGTGTGGCAGAATTATCGTACCGAGTTCTATTAAACAGACTCTTCGAACTACAAACTGTTACACAAATGTTACTTGGACTTTCAGACTTGACTTTGAAGATTTACTTTCTTGATAATAACAAAAACTAAAGCTTAAAATTCATTTTCAATATTTCTTCGATTGACATGAATAACTGCTGTCCCTCCTTTTTCACTCATACATATTTCAAGTTTGCATATCCTTCGTTTTGCGTAAGCATTCTTCTGCATATCACAATGTTTGTTGTTTGCCCAAGGAATTCCAATTGTGTTGCGAACAATTCCTTGTTATTTTTCATGCCAAACAACAGACCGACAGTCAGTCAACCAGACAGTCAGACATGGACGGAGGCTGTCGCAGCCTGAAAATTACAATGAACAAGCAAATGTTTGACAACCCTGCTGCCGCTGCTGCTTCTGCTGCTGCTGCTGCTGCTGCTCTTGCTGCTGCTGCTCTTGCTCCTGTTTAGTTTGGCTAGAGCCACCCCTCGATTGGGTTTCCTTTTTTATATTCCGTGCAATATGTTGGCATCGGTCACAGTTGCGTCTTTTGGCAGGCGGAATTTTAATTAAAATTTGAACTTGACTTATGAGCAAAAAAATAAGAGAGGAGGCGGAAAGACGATAACGAAAATCCATGTGTTTGCAGGGCCTGCTCATCAGCTGCAACCAAATGTCCGCCGAGTATCTGTTCATGACCGACAAGCAGTACGACATAAGCTACGACACTGGCGACAAGGTGATCCAGTGTGGACGCCACAACGATATTTTCAAGCTTTGGCTGCAGTGGCGCGCCAAGGGCACCGAGGGATTCGAGCAGCAGCAGGATCGCTTGATGGAACTGGTTCAGTATCAGCTGAAGCGCATTAGGCAGCAGTCCGATCGTTTCCACTTGATTATGGAGCCCGAGTGCGTTAATGTCTCGTTCTGGTATGTGCCCAAGCGTTTGCGAGGTGTGCCTCATGACAGCAAGAAGGAAGTGGAGCTGGGCAAGGTAAGATGTCCATCTGTCTACCTAATTACTATAAACTACTTACCCACCTCTTTATCTGCTGGCTTTGCAGATCTGCCCCATTATCAAGGGACGTATGATGCAGAAGGGCACACTTATGGTTGGCTACCAGCCAGACGATCGACGACCAAACTTCTTCCGGTCGATCATCTCATCGGCTGCTGTGACCGAGCAGGACGTGGACTTCATGCTTGATGAGATACACCGATTGGGCGATGACTTGTAAGCGATTCTAGCTGAGAACCTATATTGTCTCCAAAAGATAAATCTAGCTACTGTTGTGTAGTCGATGCAACCAAGAAGTATCTTTAAGGTAAAAAGCATATCATAAGAACGCGAAGAGAACAACGCTCAACTAATCAAAGTTATATGTTACTGTACATTGAATTATAAAGTGTTGCCGAATCTTATGTTTCTTTCGCTTTTTAGTTATTGAATTTTAAGACCCAACACAGTGTTGGAAAACTATTAAATATGTACTCATAATATAATCAAAATGTTGCCAATTTTAATGTTATTTTATGTTTCACGTTCACGATGAAATTTCAAGAGTTTATTGCGACTGTTGCAGATAAGAATTATATCAAGTTATTATATCGTAAAGAACTTTAAAAAATATCTCTGTGTACATTTATAATGCAATCCAAACACTACACAAAACCACCCGCCACACCCGCCACACTCACCACCAAACCAGAAACAAACAAATCAATTAAAAAATCAAAGTTGGAACATTTGAAAGCAAATTATAAGCGAAACAAAATAAAACTTAAGAGCCTAAATATTGTAAAACGATATGATATCTTAACATATCATTAAAGAAAAAAAAAAACAAATCAGTCAATGCTAAAAGTATGTTGAATTCTAATTAACTCGTTTGCAATTCTCAAATTATATAGTTTTGTTGCAGCTATATAAAAAGTATATCTAGAGTTGATCTATGGCAAAGTTTATGCTCCAGGCAATTGTATGTACCTTTACACCATATATCAAAGAGACCTGTGCTTGTTAAATTTTACATTCTGAAAACAGTTCACACACGAAAGCTACAAGATCAATTGGGGGAAGCTGAATGGGCTTCAAGCACTACGTAAGTTTGTAAGAATGGGATCTTAAGCCCAAATTAGTCCAAGTATCGAACTGTGCTATATACATAAATACGTATAAACGAATAATTTAGTTGAATCTTAGTTATTGATCGTGCTTATCATCGTATACAAACGTCTGATATATATATATTGGAGATATATTCGGTGTCAATTAAATGCAATTAAATAAACTGTTAAGAAAAGGTGTTGGAACATTATATATGAATTTGAATGAATATGAATTTTTAAAAACTTAGGTTCGACTTTGTTAAATTTGGTTAGAAATGAGTTCCGAGAAAAATCAAAATGAAAACACACGTACATAATCTTTACCCGTATAAATATATTCACAATTATATATAAAATATACATTTATGTAATTGTAGTTTAATGTGCTGTTAACTAAGTTGAATTGAAGTCAAATTACATACATACATATATATTATGTGTATACCAGATGAATTAAAAATTAAATAGAAAATCCAAAGTCAAATCATATAATTTGTATTTCGTGTATAAATTGATGTATATGTATTTGAGAACTACAACAAAGACAACAATTATTCCAGCATCTTAAATATTATATATACATAAATTATAAATAACTGAGTAAATAAAAAACAAAAGTAACGAAAGAGCAAGAAAGAGAGTTTATAATTGCCTCTCTGCACGCGCCGCCGATTTGAGGGGCTTGTTCTGCTAAGAGCTGATGATAACCGGCCCAACCGGCTTAAGAGCGACCAGAGGGGCATACCTACGATATATAAAGAATGTAATTTGGGAGCAGCTACTCAGTTGTCATCGTCACTCTGGCGTTAAGCACACTCTCCGTTGCGGCTGTCATTTTAATCAGTTTACTAAGCACACATCTCCACGGAAACTCTAAATTCTTCAGTTATATAGTTGATACTCGTCTAAAAGTGGATTAAATGTCAGTTAGCTTCGTGCCAGTGCCAACCGGCAGCGATTTTCCCTTGGAAAATTTACCATATGCTGTCTTCTCTACTAAGTCGAATGTGAGTAATTCAAATTGTATGCAACTTAATTTAGAATTATTATTTAGAATATATAATACATATTCCTTATTTTGAGCTATTTTAAATATATGTGAAAAAACAATTGATATATCATATTTAATAGCGAATGTCACATGGAATATTATGAAATAGTCAGTAAAGAAATTTCTCATGTGCTCGGTCTCTCAATTTAAAACAAAGACTGCTTTAGTGCATATCATTTGCATGTTAAATTATATCAAAACTAGTTTGTTTACGAAAACAACCTCTGATTTCCATAGTCATAACAGCTACTGCTATGTATAACACCTGCTAATCTTTGAATATCGTATCTGAACATCGTATAATTTCTTATGGCCGTATTCTAGTTTGTTTACGAAAACAACCTCTGATTTCCATAGTCATAACAGCTACTGCTATGTATAACACCTGCTTATCTTTGAATATCGTATCTGAACATCGTATAATTTCTTATGGCCGTATTCTTGTTGCTTTACAGCCCGTCCATCGGCTGTGCGTCGCAATCGGTGAGCATGTGCTGGATCTAAGAGCTGTGTCGCATTTGTTTGCATCCCCGCTGCAGGTATGTACTTTGCACTGCTTGCTGAACTGCTTGATGAGTATGCTCTGTTTTCTATAGGCTGCTCTGCAGGCAGACACGCTGAACTTGTTGATGAGCTTGGGTCATGAGGCGTGGGATGAAGTGAGGACTCAAACCCAAAAACTGTTGACCAAGGGTTCCGAAGTGGAGCAGAATGTGGACTTAGGAAGCGCGTAGGTTATCTATATACCTTCCATTCGATTCAAATTCCTAATTTATTTTCTGTTTATTGGTTGTGCTAGAGCTCTGATACCTCAGTCGGAGATTTCGCTGCATTTGCCAGCTCAGATTGGTGACTACACGGACTTCTACTCCTCCATTCATCATGCCACCAATGTGGGCATAATGTTCCGCGGTGCAGATAATGCTCTGATGCCCAATTGGCGTCATTTACCAGTGGGTTATCATGGACGCGCCAGCTCGGTTGTTGTGTCGGGCACGCCCATTCGCCGACCCTTGGGACAGACGTTGCCCGAGGGCGCTGACAAACCCATCTTTGGAGCATGCAAGCTTCTGGACTTTGAGCTGGAAATGGCATTTTTCATAGGCGGCCCTGGCAACCCACTGGGCGAACCCATCAAGGTGGACGATGCCTGGCAGAATGTCTTTGGATTTACGTTGATGAACGATTGGAGTGCTCGTGATATACAGAAGTGGGAGTACGTGCCACTGGGCCCTTTTACGGCTAAGAATCTGGGCACCACCATATCTCCCTGGGTGGTGACGACAGCAGCGCTGAAGCCATTTTTGATCGATAACTTTCCACAGGAACCGGAAGTGCTGCCATACCTAAGACAGACTATTCCCTTTAACTTTGACATCAATCTGGAAGTTTCCCTAAAACGTAAGATCTACATGGTACTGAAATTATTTTGGTATGGTTAACCCGAATTTCTTAATTCATAGCTGCCAATGACAGCGAGTCGCTGATTAGCAAGTCTAACTTTAAGCACTTGTATTGGACACCGCTGCAGCAGATCGCTCACCACACGGTCACCGGCTGTAATTTGCGGCCAGGTGATTTAATGGCATCTGGCACGATAAGCGGCGAGACACCCGACTCGTACGGCTCGCTATTGGAGCTGTGCTGGCGTGGCACTAAGACCGTGGAGCTTCAAGGTGGCAAGACACGAAAATTCCTGCAGGACTACGATGAGGTCATCATTCGCGGGCACTGCGAGAAAGATGGCCTGCGCATTGGTTTTGGCAGTTGCGCTGGTCAAGTGTTGCCGGCTCCCCCAGTGGAACAATGAATATGCATACATACATACATATGTAAATAAATACATATTTATTTATATATAAATAAAGAAATCTGAATCTATATCTGTTTACCACTTGCAATCAACAAGTGACAAAAACTCTTTGCCTCTGGCCACTCTCTCTATCTCTCTCTGTTTTTCTCTCTTAAGTCGTGCGCTCTCTGAGAGCGCCAAGCGGTGTCTGCGCCTTTCCACGCTGCTTCGTAAATATGCGCATGCTGCCGGCGTCGTCGTCGTCGTCGACGGCACTGCTGGCGCCTAAGTCGCAGTCAGTCAGTCAGTTCTCAGTGAGCGACGGTGAAGGCAAAAGTAATTTGAAAGCGTCGCGCGCGCAGCAAACAAATTTATAATATTCAATGAAGAGGGGGAATTAAATCACAAAAAAAGTTAAATAAGTTAATAACATGACACACTAGCTATTAGCGCCGTACGCAATCTAAATGGCTGCGCTTTTAGTTTTGTTTTATTAAAAAAATAATAAGATATTCGAATAAGCAAAACAAATCAAATTTGTGTTACGCAGTGCGGGCATGTCTTGAAAAACCGTTAAAAGTGTAAGATGAACTACAAAATATTCAATATTTATTTGTTATCTGAAATATTACTGTGTGCTTGGCCAGTAAAGCCAGTTGATTTTTTTTCCAACTTTATGTGAATATTTTTTCTCAAATTTCGTGTGCGGCAACCACTCGCAATGACTGGAAAAATCAATTTTGTAGCAGGTCTGCGCACGCACGCACACACACAAACACGCACGCACACTCACACACACAGAAGTCAAGCAGACGCATGCACGGGCACATAAACACACAGACAGGCATGCGAACGTCTGAGCTTGGCGCCCACCCACCCTGGTGCACTCGAAACCAGACTCAGGACCCTTTAAAATACCGAACAATCCACTTCTCTGTCGTTTGCCTGCTCTGTTGTTGTTGTTGTTGTTGCTGTTGTGCTTGTGCTTGCTTGCATTGATTTTCTGCATACACACATTTCGTCCACAAATCTGCGGCAGATGCACAGAGAAGTACACACACACACACAGAGACATACATACATATGCACACATACCACACGCTCAGCATGCAAAAAGTTAATCAGCAGACTGCACAGTCCCCCAACAGCCTCAACAACAACAACAATAGCAGCGAGTAAAAAGATACGCAACAGCAAATGGCTATAAAAAAAGTTTGCAATTAACTGGCGCCGTCGGCTGTCATGCTGGAACAGACGCTCGCACTTGCCCCGACGGCGCGCCCCCTACTCAACCTTAGGGAACCTGTTTTGGCGCGCCAGTTGCGCTTCTCGTTTGCCTCTGCCCATGCATCGTGCGCATGTGTCCGGGAGAGGCCCGAGTGCCATGTCTAGACTGCGAAGTGGACTGCTCTGGCTCTCACTCACGCTCTCTCTTGCTTTCGTTGTGCTGCTCGTGCTCATTGGACGCACGCGCCGGCTGCGGCGTCCACTCTCATTGACGATAACAGGCGAATACAAAGCATAAAGCAAAAAGCTGCACAATTAATTTCCATGTTTATATTTACTTACTCCCTAGGACATTGAGATGACAGCGAGTGAGAATCGTGTATGGGGGGATTATACCTCTAGTGCAATGAATTTACTTATATAATTAAGTAATGAACTAATAGTAGGTCAATTTGTCCTATCTAATCCAATATCTAGGAGGTAAAATTCCAAAATTGTTTAGATCATTTTGCGTCATCGTGACACGATTCACTTCAAATTGCTCATCTCTATTTGCTTTGCTTGATTCTTATCAGCAGAAAGTCATAAATTGAGTGACAATGCTTTCTGTTTCATTCGTTAAGCTCTGACGGTGTAAATGATAGTCAATTGCTTCCATGCGCACACACACATACACATATGTACATACAAAAATATCAAAGAGTTGAGTGCATAAATTCATTGGAATGTGCACTATTATCTCTTTATTATAAATTACTAAACATATAATAAATTGCTATAAAGGCTCCGGTCCTATTTGCAAAGTAATTAACCCATTTTCCGCAACCGAGGAACATAATATACAATAATTTGAATGAGTGTGCGCTTCGATAAGGTGAGCCGCACAGCAACGTGTAGTCAGTTCTCGCAAAGTATCGAGACATTTTAATACAGTTCAGTCAAGCGCCTAATTAAAATCAAAAGTCGAAATTTCCAATTACCGTCACAGACGCCACTCCAAAGCAGAAGGCTTTTAACAGTATCTATATGTCTACACGTCTGATGGGGACATAGACCAAAATTGTGTATTAATTTTTAATGTGTGAAAATCTTTAGCTTGAATTTATCTTCTTAAACTTGAATTTGAATTACTCTATGACGAAAATAATAAAGCAAAAATTCAGATATATATATAATATATGCATAAGCAAATGCGATCTACCTATTGATGTTTGCAGATAAACTAAAAGGCAGATATGCTCGTAGAGTTATATAGTGGAATCTATATTACCTCTTGTTAAAAATAAAAACTAGAATATGTGCCAAGAATTTCTTTGTACTCGTTTGTATTCCGACCAATTATTGCGTACATACGATTTTTTGCTGAGTGTTTCTTATACCCTGAATCCATTGGAAACGGGAAATTTGGGTATAATGGTTTTGTTCAAATGTATGATACAGGCATAAGGAGGCGTGGCTGACGTGGCAAAGTAAAGTATGTAAATTCTCGATCAGAAGAACGAGCTGAGTTGATCTCTGCATGTTGTTGCGATGTTAGTTGACATTGTCTTACTGAGAATTCTCCTCTTTGATTCTTCTAATGGATTTAACTAACTGTTTGATAATCTTCTCTTGGGAACAATTACATTTATATAATGCCTATTTTCAGTTAACTTTAACCAACACTGCGTCCGTCCCTTCAATTGTACTTGTGTATACCATATGCGGAAACGATTTATCATTTTCTTATTGTTGACGAAAAATCCTAATTTTAGCTATTTTTTAAACGCAATTGAAATATTTTAGATTTACAACATTTACTGCATTGGAATTTCAGTTCTTCACATTATTAAGGGTATCTCCTAGTCGACCACTATTACGTTTTTATTATTATTTTTTTTTTTTGCTTAGCGGAATGCGGCACCAAATGATTCCAAAGTACAATGATGTCGACAAAACGCCCCCGTTGTAGCGCCAGCTCCATTTTCAGTAAAGTGGGTGGGGTGACTGCCTGACTGACTGATTGACAGACAGAATGACAGACAGACAGACTGATAAAGAAGCCAAGCGCCAAGCGCAACAACAACTACATACATACATACATACAAACACACAAAATTGTTGCTCTTATTACAATTGCGGGTGATCAGCAACTGCGAGTGGTGCTGCTCCAGCCAGTGGATCGAGTCTCTTTGTAATTGGGTCTCGTCGTTATCGTCGTCAATAAATTGCAGCATTAGCTAAATTTACAGTGCGCCCACGGAATACAGAGTGAATTGGAGGCTGAAGCCAAACCCTACAAATGTTTTGGACTCCAATGGCAACTGGCCAGACTGGTCATTGCGTTACAGTTTGCTTATATATGCTTATACGAGTGCATGAACGATCCGCAATTCATAACAAAAGAAAACAATCGGACATAATATAGAAATGAGTGTTTATACATATATTGACTGCATTAAATGCTTATTTCAGCACTATTTACTGCTGCTCAGCCAAAATGCCATAAACAATAAGCGTCTGGGAGTTGAGAGCTGATAAGATCAACAAAAGCGGCAAGCAAACGACACTTCAAACCAAAAACAAGCTAAAACTCGCATCATGACTGGGCAAGTGTGGAGTTTACGGTGCGGGACGCTCTTCATAATGCTTATGATTACTCTAACTTTGGCCTGTGAGTACACACAATTGATTCATTTTAAGGATAAATGTATAAATATATATTGATATCTACAGCGCCAGCGCCCAGTCGCCAGTATAGCTGCATGAGCTACAAGGAGAACGACAATTTACAGCACGACGACGACTATGAGCAGGAGAGCAGCGAAGGCATCAGTGTGGAGCAGCAGCAGCAGTACCTGGAGGCAGGCGCCCTGCCCACTGAGCCACACAAGCGCAGCTGCACCGAGGGCTACACGTTCTGCTTCACGCTGTGGAATCAGACCTCGAATGGCACGCGTTTCGTTAAGCAGGGTAAGTTTTAAATTAATAGGAAAGATTTAGTGGTATGAGATGAACTGCATCCGATTTTCCGATTGAATATATTTAAGTAAATCATTAATTTTTAGGCTTTCTTAGAATGTTTTATCTGGCTAAATTATATAGCCGAAAGCTACATGCAATTGTTCAAACTCTAGCTCCACAGACATATGAGATGTTATTTCTTCCTGAATTTCGATACACGTATATTAAAGCAGAAATAGCTATAGATTTTTTTGAAACTCGATCCTAGTATCTAGCCCATAAAGGCAATGAGATCCACGCGTTCATATACACAGACTAACGGAAGAACGAACAGGCACACGGACAGACAGACTCAGCTCATCGTCATCGTCATTATTAATATTGTGAGGAGCAATATAGGTATGCACGTATTTATGTATATGAACGTATGTACGTATTTGCTATGCGTTTATATGCATATACATTTTATGGGGCCTCTCACGCCTCCTTTTGCCTGTATCATTTTAACGAAGACCATATCCTGATGTAAAAACCTGAATCAAATGTATTATAGCTTGCGATTTTCTTTCTTTGTAGGCTGCTGGAAGGACAATACAGATCGCAATTCAATTTGCAGCCACTCGAAGTGCACCAGCTCGGCACCCACATCCCGCAACAACAGCCTCTACTACTGCTGCTGCTCCGGCGAGCTGTGCAACGCCCAAGTGGCTATCGTGGAGCCGGCACCGCAAGAGCTGGCGAACAATGTGCAGCTGGTGCTGTACAATCGAGCCACGTCGCAGCAGCAAAGCTCCTTTAGAGCCACCACGCTGCTCACCTGTGTGGGTCTGCTGACAGTCCTCGTAATCGGCATCCTGTTGGCCGTTCAATATTGTCGCGGGGTCAAGGAGAATAGCGAGCCTGAGGAATCGCCGCTGGCGCCATCCGGACCCGGCTACAGCTCCAATCTGCGGAATGTCGACAACATGAACCTGATCGGCATGCTGGGCAGTGGCAAATACGGCACTGTGATGAAGGGCATGCTGCACGACCAGGAAGTGGCCGTCAAGATCTACCCCGAGGCGCACCACCAGTATTACGTGAATGAGAGGAACATTTACGCACTGCCACTGATGGACTGTCCGGCACTGCTCAGCTACTTTGGTAAGCCTGCAGCGAGTGGCATACATCAGCAGATTCATTGATTCATTGTTATTTCCCACTTAGGCTACGACGAGCGCCGCACCATGGATGGCCGCATGGAGTACCAGCTGGTGTTATCGCTCGCACCACTGGGCTGCCTTCAGGATTGGCTGATTGCCAACAGCACGGACTTTGCCCAGTGCTGCGGCATGCTGCGCTCCATTACGCGCGGCCTGTCCCACTTGCACACCGAGCTGCGATTGGGCGAGCTGCACAAGCCCTGCGTGGCCCACCGCGATCTCAACTCGCGCAACATTCTGGTGCAGGCGGATCTCAGCTGCTGCATAGCGGACTTCGGATTTGCACTGAAGGTGTTCGGCTCGAAGTACGAGTACAAGGGCGAGGTGGCCATGGCCGAGACCAAGAGCATCAATGAGGTGGGCACACTGCGCTATATGGCCCCGGAGCTGCTCGAGGGTGCCGTTAACTTGCGAGACTGTGAGACATCGCTCAAGCAAATGGACGTTTACGCCCTGGGCCTGGTGCTGTGGGAGGTGGCAACACGTTGCTCGGACTTCTATGCTCCCGGGCAGGTGACGCCGCCCTACAAGGCGCCCTATGAGCAGGAAGTGGGTCCACATCCCACTTTCGACCAGATGCAAGCTCTAGTGGTGCGGCACAAGGCACGCCCACTGTTCCCGGCGGGCTGGGGCGGTGGTGCTGCTGCCAAGCTAGTGCGCGATACCTGCGAGGATTGCTGGGATCACGATGCAGACGCCAGGCTGACATCGCTTTGCGCCGAGGAGCGCATGCAGGAGATGTCCAGCTTGCGTCCACGGCTCCAAACGCAGCCGGCCAGTCCGCTGCTTAACACCAACAACTTGGCCTCTCCCACGGCGACGCTCGTTAGCACAATCAGCAACACGACAACGACAACGACTGCGGCTGCAGTGCATCAAGTCCAATCGCAGCTCTCGTCGGCCGATGGTGGACTTCTGCAGCCGCCGCCTAATCAGCAATTCCCCACAGAGAAGAATCACCTGAGCTACGCACAGCCTCAGTTGCAGCCGCACCTGCAGGGGCGCAATCCTTGCCAGGAGCGCAACCTGGCGCCTCAGTCACTGCGGACGCCACCTGTGCTCGTGGAGCGCAGCAAGAAGCACAGCTTTCAGCCCCAGCAGGAGCAGAGCCTGTCCTGCCTGGAGCACGACGTGAGCGTGGAAGAGCTCATTGCCAGCCGCCAGCAGAAGCAGAACTCAAGTCTGGGCCAGGGCTTTCCCAAGCAGCAAAACACAGACCAGAAGCTACGTGGATGGCATGGTGTGCGCGCCCTGATCCACAAGAAACTGTTTCGCAAGGAGCACGCCGAGGAGCTCTGCAGGCAGCTGCAGCTGGGCGAGGAGAAGTCGAATCTCGTGGCGGCTCTGAAGAGCATGGACAATGCACAATTGGCCAGTGGTCTGAGGCGACCCAACAATCTGGACTTGAGTCCTCTGCAGCCCTTGGATAGAGCTAATCTGCTGCAGCTTCGCAGTGCGGAGCAGCGTACCGGCACGCCCGCTCATATTGTGCCCCGTTCGCTGTCCAGCAGCCTCATCAAGCACATTAACTGCAATGGGAACAGCAGCCAGAACCCGAATCAGAACCACAACCAAAACCACAACAACAACAACGAAAACGAGCTGCACATGCTGTCCGGCTCCCGGGCTCCAAAACGACGTCCCGGACACCTGCGCACAAACTCGCTCCTGGTGACCAGCAACAGCGGCAACCTGCCGACGCCAACAGAGCAGCAAATGCGCCGACAGCACAGCCTGGAGGTCTTCCGCGAGGTATTCAGTGGGCGTGGCAGCAGTGAGCGACTGCGCGATCCCAGCGAGCGGGTCAAAACGCCCGGAGATGTGCCGCCCTCCGTGCGGAAGGCGCGCGCCTCGAAGACCCTGAGTCTATACGATGATCGCATGATGGACTCGTCGCTGTTAAATATACTCTAGCATGAGGAGGTTCTGCTGCTGGAGCTTTAAGACTATCATCGGCAGCAGAACTCCATATAGTAGTGAACTCATATCTTAAGTTTCATCAAGCACACATATTCAGCGATAGCCATACGGAGAGCTTACGGCTCTCGACCTGATACTTAAATCCGATATTGAGTAAAACCCACACAGATATATCTAACATATATAATGTATTTTTCAAAAGCATAATCCACAAATTCTCGCTCATAGCAGATAGATCCAGAGAAATCTAGAAGTATATGTATTTTTCCACCAATCATCGTAGTGTTTAGTGCGGTAAACAACCAAAGTCCTTATAGGTTAGAACAGGATGCAGCAGCATGGTACGGAGTAGAAGTATATAGAAGACTACAACGCAAGTAAATCCGTATAGGCGACATATTTTTGACTTGAACTGGACGTTAAGCAGTCTGACTATAGTGAATCGATAGTGGTATAGAGGTTAAGTGCTCAATAGAATTGAGCTTACAGGGCGTAACTGTACCTCGGCTAGGTTTACAGTCGGTTTAGGATCAAGCAGAATGGGGCTTTCAGTGGGCCAACAGGTTAGGAAAAGTTTTTTAAAACTATATACACATGCATATATAACTAAAAGAAAAACATTTAGACTTATTACACGATTATATATAAGCTGGCGGCTGGGGCTGACACTGCGACAAAAATTTACTTAAAGGATAAGGAAGAGAAGTACGCAGCCCTGAGTCCAGAGCACACACACACTCGCCTATTTTTCCAAGTATTATACGAACCCATTCTAAAGCAACTCTGACACCCTATAAAGAATTTCATGCGTATGCCTTTCTATTGTATTCAAACTTAGATTTCGGAATAGGTTTCTTTATCATTTACGTAGTACATGTAGACCAAAACACCCACAGCCTTTTAATTAAAAATAATATATATATAATTATATATTTAAACACTAGTCATATGATTTACATTAACTATAAATATGTTTAGGAAGCGTTTATTTAACTTCATTTATTAAGGCAAATAAACAATGAACCCAAGTGTACCAAGTGTCACTCACTTCATTTTGCATTGCAAATCACGCAGGTCGCCGTCTCAGCTCGATCAGCACCGGAGCATTGGGCTTGTTGATCAGCAGAGTTTCAATATCCAGCTCGACATCCGTTCGGCCGCGCCAGATGAGCTCATAGTTGCGCAGCAGCTGCGTGGAATGGAATTTGAATTTTAAATTTCTTCGCTATGGTATTGTAGATAGATAGATAGAGATTACCCTCAAGAGCAAGACGTGCATATTCTGTTCGGCGAGGCGGCGAGCGATGCAGGCGCGCGTGCCGTGTCCGAAAGGCATGACCAGATAAGGATTGAGAGCGCTGCGTTGCTGCAGCCAACGGTCGGGCTGGAAACTTAGAGGATCTGGAAAATGTTCAGGCTGGCGACACGCAATCATATTCTGGGTTACAACGGTGGTCTGCACAGGGGAAAGAGTTTAAGTATGTGTCTAGTTATTGGAATCCTCAGTTCTCTCCACTTACTCCCTTGGGCACAAAGTAGCCACTGAGCAATGTATCCTGGTTGAGGACACGGCCAAAGCCAATGGAAATGGGGTTTAGGCGCAGCGACTCCTTGAGCACTGCCCGCGTATATGTAATCTCCGTGCGCAACGCATCCGCGCTAAGCGACTCTTCAGGCTTGGGCAGCACTTTGACTGCCTCCGCGTGGAGACGCAACTGCACTTCAGGATGCCGTGCCACATGGTACAGCAGAAACGCGGAGGCATACGAGGTGGTGTCAATGCCAGCTAGCAATAAGTCAGCCGCCGTGCCCACAACATCAAGTCGGTCTAGCTGAGGGTTTTGCGCATAGCTGGCAATCAGAGAGGATCGGAATGAGCTTCCTTGCACACTTTGCTCCAGCAGCTCCAGGGCAACGCTTTCCATATACGCCTGAGCGCGCCGCAGCTTCCGGTAGCTGGGCGTTTCTATGAAGCGCCACAGCTGTAAGCCCTGGTCGGTGGGCAGGATGCAGCTGTTTGTGGTCTCCGCGGCATGCATGAGCTGTGTGGAGCGGGAGGAGGCATGTTGCTCCTCGGGCGAAAATGATTGGATGCGTGCTCCAAAGGTCAACAGGCAGGTCACTAATGATGCCAATGAATGGAATAGAATGGAATTGATTATTGAAATCGACTATAGACAACTGTGTAATTCGCTCACGTTCCAAGTTCAGTCTGGTTAGCTTGGGTAGCATGTCGATGGCTGCACCAGCTTCAACCGACTGTTCCAGAAAGGTCAAGAACTCTTGTGTCACTGCATCCACCTCGCGCACGAAGTTGCGCACACTTCTCGGCGCACTCAGCTCCTTCTGCAGCTGGGAGCGAAGGCGCCACCAGTCGGGCCCGTTTGTGGGCAGCAGGCCCGTGGTCTTGTAGAGATGTGGTCGCTGCTTGCGGTACTGGGCCAGGGCCAGGTGGCTGCGTCGCTGAGGAAAGTCGCGCTCGTTGAGCAGTGTCGCAATGTCTTTGGGATCGTACAGCCAAACAATATCCTGACCCGGCACCATTGTCTCTCTTACAATTGATCCGTATTTCTCGTACTTATCCTGGCCAGCCTTGTGCAACTGCAGCCAGGAGTAGGCACCAATGCCAGGCATATAGTTGTACAGATTACCCAGTCCAAACGGACCTCGTGGCCCCGGCATCGCCTCAAATGGTTTGACGAACGTGCATTGCCGCGAGTTGCAGCAGATTTTCAATAACTTCGTCAGCATTTTGGTCCGCTCAGCTGCGTTCGTCGCCGATTTCCGAAAATAACTGAAACAGACTTTTACGATGGGTAAGCATTTAGGGTTTTCGTTTCTTGCGCCTTCTTTTGTTTCACTTGTCACTGAAAAGGTAACAGAATCCAATAATCTGCTCGCTTTGGAGTCGTGTTTACCTGTGATGCAGACTTCTACCATTCGTTTACCTGACGAGAGAGGTAGAGAGAGAGAAAGGGAGAGAGAGCGTGCATCAGCTGTGCTCTTAAGACTGCTTTAAAGTTTCCATTATTCGAAAAGAAGCGTTGTATACTTTTAGGCGGTTTGTAATAAAACATTTCCATATGTTCTGTCCCTGTCCAGTTGACAGAATACGCGCATTCATTCCCCCAAACCCTCTTGCGCACAATTTGCCTGTCCAGCCGAAGGCCCCAGTTGCCAATGCTTTAGTTTTAAGTTAGTCTTAAGCTTATATTAATTCTAATCTGTAATCAATTTATTCCGACTGTCAAATAAGCGTGAAATACTATATAAGAATAGTATAGTAGAGCTATATATGTATATACATAGAGCCTGCAGCTTTACAGGTAAGAAACTGAATATTTTACATATTTTACAAAATAAATCTACATTAAAAACTATTGAGCTAGTAGGTAGATCAATTGAAATAAAAATTGTAATACAAATTCATATATTCAGTAAAGCAGACTATCTTAAGATTGGATAAGTATGGATAAATGCTCTATGTATTAAATGTATTACATAAAATCAGAGTTTAATTGTTAAAAAAAATTAAGGACATACAAAAAGTTGTAATGTAATATACAAAATTAATAGAATTAATCACAAATGAGGATTTATTAGCAATGAGCTGCAAAAAATAATTAAGTTTAGTTTTATTTATTTATTTATTTTTTTTTTTTAATCCATAGACTATAAAAAAAAATTTTTTTTCGCAAATCTGAATGAATGAAAATGTTACAATCCCAAGTTATATACATATAGTCCCGTTAAGAAAATTTAGTTTATACTGCTTTATAATAATTATTAATATTAATAATTTGAAAATAATAACTTATGTTTTGCATTATTTATATTTAAAATCACTTAATATGTAGTTTGTCTCGACTTTAAAGCACCTAAATTTTAATCTATAACTCAAAACTAATCTTCTTTAATGTCCTCCTGTGGCTTGGCTTTTACCTTTTTTTCTTTAATGCGTCTCACCTTCTTCTTCTTATTTATGCTTTGCCAGATCAGAAAGATAAAATTGCCAAAGAATAAGAGCATAAAAAGTAGAGGTAAAATCAAAACTTCCATAGATTTTCTAATATGGTAAAACATTCCAGAAGACTTGGAGACCGACAAATGCTTAAAGAGGTTCGGCTGGCTGACCAATTGCTCCGCATACCAAACGGCCACATCCAAAGGCTTCAGTTGGCGAGTGCGATAATTGAGCTGTGCCTGCTGCATTGATTCCAAATAGGAATCGTCTCGTATCAATTGCTTTAAAGCCGCGGAGAAGCTGTTTAGTGCAAAGTCTCCGGGTGAAACTCGAACTCCCAAATGACGTTCCTCCAAGCGTTGTGCGTTCTGTGGTGCAAAGAGGTAAGGGTCTGAAATATATATAAATGAATCTCAGCTTACATTGATCTGATCCATTAGCACGGGCAACACAATAATTGGAACTGCATTGTAGACAGCTTCCTGGACACTGAAGCTATCTCCATGACTGAGAAACGCTTTTACATTGGAGTGAGCTGAAATCGGAAACAAGAATTGAGACAGGATTCGAGTTAAAAGAGGCTCTCAGCTAACCCAAAATATTTTGCTGCATATTTTCAACCACGTTGATGGCTCGCAGATTGTAAAAGTTTTCGGACAACTGAAGCTCCTTCACATTATTCACATTCCACAGGAAGCCGAACTGGCCGTACTCCCTGATCATAGTCTCAATCGCCTGAATGCCCAAGCCATACATCAGCTCAATATGGGGCAGATTTATATAAATGATTCCCTCGGAAAAGCGATCTATAAAGTCCTGAGTGCTGAAGGGCAATGGCTCCGACTCGGAGAGAATGTGCAAGCCACCCACCTCTATAACGTTCGGTGGCATGTTCTGCACATAGTCCAAAGACGGATGCGTGTTGAGCAGCACTACCTGCACATCGGGAGTGAAGTACCCGTTGCCCAGCATGCCGTTTAAGACGGGCTGGACCACAGACCATTGAATGCTGTTGGGAAAGGGAAAGATTGAGAATGGATTATCTTCCCCTAGTCTGCAGTCGTTTAGTTTCATAGTTACAATTGCTCAGCCAGGTACATGGCATGGTTCTGCAGCCGGTGCCAGTACTTCATTTTGAGAGGCAGTCGACTGGCGAAGTGCGGAATCGTTGCAGCACTGATGGTGTTCTCAGCTTCAACTAACTGAAGTAGGTCTGTCGTCAGCTTGCCACTGCTGAGGGCCATGACGGGCACAGATCGCAGTTGGGGCAGCCTCGATAGTAGACATTCAATGGAATAGGTGGCATCATAGATAATCAAGTCAAAATTGCCCTCCGGAATGTTGAAGTCCTTGAAGAAGAGTGTCTCAACCGTGAAGCGACAGGTGCCAAGCAGCGCCTCATACCAGATGAGCAGATGCTTAATATCCCAATAGTTCTGGTAGTGACCCATCGCGTCCACATAGTGCTTCCGAACCACGTCGTACTCGTTGCTCACCGGAACGCTGGTTATGCCCGGTATGTCTGCATCCATCTGTGAGCCAATCACTGTCAGCTGGTGGCCGCGCTCAGCGAGTGCCTGGAAGAAGGGCAGCACCCAGCCAGGATTATTGTGCGCCGGCGTGCCGACAATGCACAAAATCCGAGCAGCATTCGACTGCTGCCAGTTGCTGCAAGTCAGCAGCAGCAGCAGCAGCAGCGGCGGCAAAAGAGCCGCGATAGATTTCATGTTACCAAACGATTGCACCGCAACAACGCGACTGATTCACCACTGGTCCCACCGGTTGAGATAAGATAACGATAATCAATACCAAACGATAAGAGTTTTGTTTTGTTTATTTTTTTTCTCTCTGGAGAGCAGTGTACGCTCAAAACAAAAACGAAATGCTATATAGAGCGTATGTTCAGACTGAACATGACAAACTTGGCAAAGTTTGTTACGTTTAAATTTTTTGGATTTATCTTTCTAATTTATAAATACTCAACATGTAGCGTATACATGTATTTATAATTAATCAATTAATCGCTAGTCAGCTCTGATTAACGATATTAACATGATTATTAGATACATTTTCCATAAAATACAACCACAACGATCGGAAAGGCCCGGCTAAAAGAGTTAATATTCTATTCTAATCATTCTACTCTTACACGGTGCAGCTGCTGCTCTTGGGCTACTCTTTAGACCTTTACTACGGCGTATTAATCGTAGAATAAATGTTGGAAAAAGCGCTAAGCTCAATTCAATAATGAAGTCTTTAGACTTTTCCGATAGTAATGATAATAAAGATTTTCCCGACATGTGAGTTAGGGGCGTGGCAAATCGGAAAATGTATTTTCCAGCAAGTCAGAAAACTTGTTACTTGAACAGCTAGATAGTTGACTTGGTCGTAAAATCAGGACTCCATTGCTTCATATTTAGCGTGTGTCACTGTTATAATCGTTTAAAGGTATACATATATACTGATTTGTAAATATGTAATTTTGAGCATTTTTATATGGATGTTTCTCCAGAAAAGTCTACTTTTTGTTGCGTGCAGTTTTTATAAGAAAAAAATATATCCATCTATTATATGTATATTTATATTCAATATTCACCTATTAAATATTTGTAATTATTAATTAAGCAGGTAATGATTTTACTGAGAATGAGTATTCTACAGTCGGTAGTGCTCGACTGCAACGTTATCTTTTATTTTTCAACAGATTCAGAAGTTCAATAATATAAAGATGTATGCAATGAAACAAACAAGTAATTCAAAGTTGATTTGCTAAGATTGTGATGAGCAAAGAGAGAACTCGCTTTTACAAATAAAACTATTTCTTATCAGCTCTCAGTGGGTATCGCTATAAGAGCAGAAAACTCGCTTAGCAGCGGCTCAGTAGCTGTCAAGATGTATTCCGACAAATGTCTCGGCATTCGCGTCGTTGTTGTGATTCAGCTGCTTGGCTGGGCAACGGGTGCCAATATATTGGCGCTGATGGGCATGACGTCCCACAGTCATCACATATGGCAAGTGGTGGGTGCGGCTATGGAGCATGGTCGGGAGACTAACGGAAGATTCTCGATTGCAGGAATAGCGTATTGCTGTATGAGCTGGCTGAGCGGGGTCACAATTTGACCATACTGTCTGTGGACTTGCCACGGCCTCACGATAAGGTCCCAGCCAATGTCAGCTATATACACCTGGAGCGTGCCTACGACTTTTACGATGCGGGAGGCGCCGACAATTTCGATATCAACGCGCTTATTGGCATTGGCGATTATGTGACAATTCCGATTCATTATGATTACGGCTTGAAAACTGCCGAAAGCATAGCAGCATCGCAGGGCTTGCAGCAGCTGCTGAACTATCCGCCGGACTTTGAGTTTGATGTGATTATCAACGACTATACGCTGGGACCCTATCTGCTGGGTTTCGCGCACAGATTCCGCTACCCGCCCATTATTGGCATAACAGCCTTTCACAACGCGCCCATAACCCTGGACTTCATGTCGAATCACTACTTTCCCGCACTTGTTCCCTACTTCTCGACTCTGTATAACGCGAGCATGAGCTTCTTTCAGCGTTTGGATAATACGCTTATATTTGCCGCGGACACAATGTGAGCATAAAATCAATTTCATAGACGACTCAAGTAATTTATCAAGTGATCCTAATTAGCTATCGCCGGTGGTTCTACAATCCCCAACTGGACGAAATAATGCGACCCGTTTTTGGGCCCGATATGCCGTCCCTTTCGGACTTGGCGAAGCTTACAAAGGTTTCACTGGTCAATTCCCACCCCGCCACCAACTATGTGGAGGCCTTGCCACCTAACGTTGTCGAGGTGGGTGGCATGCAGGGCAGGCCGGGGCAGCCCCTGCCCAAGGAACTAGATGAGTTTATGAGAAGAGGCAAGCGCGGAGCTATATTGTTTTCGTTGGGCACCAATATGCTGCCGCAGAATGTGGACAGGGAGACTAAGCTGAAAATTGTGGAGGCCTTCAGGCAATTGCCCGACTATAATTTCTTATGGAAATTCGACAAGGAGTATTTGAGGGATGTGCAGATGCCAGACAATGTATTGGTGAAGGATTTTCTGCCCCAAACTGATGTCTTGGGTAAGTTCGATCTGGCAAGTGAGCTGAGATGTTGATCATGATAGTTTCCAGCTCATAAATCTTTGGTGTTGTTCATCTCGCACTGTGGTGGACTAAGCACCCAGGAAGCGACCTGGCACGGTGTGCCCATTGTCGGGATTCCTTTGTTCCTCGATCAGTATCGGGTAAGTTCATTTCGAAAGGTATTTGGAAAGTGACTGCAACAATATATTCTTCCGTAGAATCTCATTCAAACAATTTCCGCCGGAGCCGCTGTTCAGGTCAACTACTTGAATATGACCACTGTCCAGCTGGTTTCAGCCATTCGAGAGGTTGCCGAGAACAAGAAATACGCGCAGGCCATGAAGCTGCGCTCTCGACGCTTGCGCGACAATCCTGTGCCACCCTTGGAGCTGGCCGTGTGGTGGGTGGAGTATCTGCTACGCCATCCCGACCCCGCCCACTTGCACTCGACAGCCAAGGAGCTGAACTACTTCCAGTCGCATTCCTTGGATGTGATCGCATTTCTGGCACTGATTCCCATGTTGCTCATATATGTGCTGCAGAGCCTATGTAGGAGGAGCAGGAGGACGCGAAGGCCCAGCAGGAGGCATCCCAAGCACGATTGAGTTACCAAACCTTTTTTGCATTTTGAAATATTTTATTCATTTTTGTAAAACTAAATATTATACATGAAATGTTTGTTATTGCTATAATTTCTAGGCAACGGGTGCTCATTATTTCTAAAAAAAAAATTCGAATTACAAAAACAAATAAGAAGCACATATATATATTTGCATAATTTTGGTTCTGAGACTTGCATAATGAACAACTATTAGCAAAGAAATTACTCACTGATTCTAAATCTAGGTGCGCTTATATACGTGTGTGTTTGTGTGTGTGTGGGTGTGTCTGTGGGTGTAGTAGTGTTTAGTTTGTTTTGTGTTTATTTACGCGTTGTTAATATGGCAAGATTAATACATGAAACTATTTTCACTTACCGCACCGACAGCGAGTGCCCCTAATGAAGCTTTAGTCTAACTAAACCTAGGCGCGAATTGCACATTGGATTATTCATAAATTAAGTTAAATATATAAGTATTAAATTAATTAACACAGATATTCGTTTTGTTTGTTAAGGGGTTCGAGTGTCTGGGCGCAGGGTTAGAGCGTGGTTATATACAGATTAGCAGGCGATAGGTATTCACTACCTACAGTATCTAAAAATGCTTTCATTTAGTGAACACCCCTCATACGAAGCGCATTCCCAATCTTGAGGCTGTTCGGTTAGTTTTGGTGCTTAGTGAGGATACAGGGGACAGTTCGTGGATTATCGGATTATCGATTAATTGCTATTCACTCGTTCACCAGCTGCGCTGGGCCGGGATCGTCGTACGGCGCTCCATTGGCACCCACATACTGATTGTTGTTGCGGTGCACGAAGCCACGTCCGGGCGCTGCATTGTAGTAGACGACACGGCGTATGCCGAACGGATCCACATAGCCGTAGCTGCCCGCCCGCTTGCCATCCACCTGGGCCTCCTCGTGGTACTGCTTGGGCAGCACATAGCGGAACCCATTGCGAGTCACGCTGACCCCATCGTAGTCCGAGGCATCCAGATTGTTGCTGTGCAGCGGACGCAGTCGGCGTCGGTACGCCCGATCCGGCAACGGTGGCAGCAAAGGCGAATCCAATGCATTCACATCCAGCGGTAAATTGGATGTGTATAAGCCATACGAGCTGCGCGGGGGCGTGGCTGTAGGCGCGTAATGATAGCCAGCATCGCCAACGGAGGGCGGCACAACGAAGGGGGCGGGCGTTGAATAAGCAAACTGATCGTGCGCCGCAATGGGCGCAGGAGTCGTCGACACAATGTCAACGGCTGTTGGGCGTGGTCGCACTCTCCTGCGGTGAGCGCTCAGAGGCGGCAGCATGGACAGCTCTGGCGCAAAGAAAGCCGGCGAGGACACGGCAGGACGCGGCGTCGTTGAAGCAATCACAGCTGCAAAGCGACCCGGCGCAAAGCCATGATTCGCCTCCTCGTCGTACACGTTGATCGCATTGATCTCATCGATGGGCTCCGCGTTAGGCTGAATGTGCACATTGCCGCCCAAGAGATGATCGCGCGCTCTTGGCAGCTCGTCCGGATAGTGGTCGAATCCTAGCTGCGTTTGCGGCTCTATCTTGGCTGCCTGCTCGGGCGGCAGATAGTTGAGTTTGCCCACGCCAGAGTCCAGATTTGCAGTGGCCAAGTATGGTGAGCTATACAATGCTGGCGGGGGCGTGGTAGTTGTGGTTGTGCTGCTATACCCATAGCCATGTTTGCGATAGCCGCCGGCTACGCTGTTGCCGCCCACATTCCCATCGACCAGAACGCCAGATTGAGCTGGCGCTGCTTTCGTGGACTTGATTGCCTCCTGCAAAGCACGGACATATATGAGCTGCTGAATGCTGTTGCTATGCCACTCAATAGTTACCTCAATGCCTCTGTTTTGACCCACGAAAATAGTCTTGGATTTCAGTATGCGATATCCCTGTTTGTCCGCGATGTAGTCCTTCTGCCGCAAAAAACCGGCAGCGTCGATCCAGGCTTCTGTGCCTGAAAAATAGATTTGTGAATTCTCAAATTGCTGTCTACACTGTGATTTTTAGTGACTAAACCAAAAACAGTTCAAGTGCTTCATCTAAATGGATTTTTGTTGAGCAAATATTGATTTAGCTAAGCAACAGCTAGTCGTTAATAACGGTTTCTCATTGTGGACTTACCGATGACTGTGCCGTCCTGCAGCCGTTTCTCCTTGCGGAACTGCCCGTTGTCGGTCTGAAAGCGGAAGTATCTCTCAGGTCCCTCATCCGTTTGAATGTGGTACTGACTTTGACTCGCGTCGCCCCACGAGGCGGCTGCCAGCGCTACCAATGCCAGCTGCAATGACAAAATTGTCGACAAGGGGTCAGTAACATGCCTCATGCCACTTGCCACTGCTACTTGCTACTTGCTACTTGGCACTAGTTATTTGCCAGTTGAGGCCGGTGTTTTGACTAATGGCGTATGGCATATGGCAATAGCCGCACATCCGCTGCTAATGGCAGCTAGAAATGCATGTGGATCTGGCCAAACATGGGCAACTGCAACAGATGTTGGATAAGTGCCGACAGGTAGCTGTTGCCTGTTGGCCGTTGGCAGTTGGCGTTGCTTAACTTGGCCGAAAACGTGCAGTCATCGATGCACTTCAAATTCAGAGTCAAGGTGACATGATGAGATGCAACCGCAGCGGTTGCACAATGCAACGCAGCGCAGTGCAGCGCAGCAACAAGTTGCGAACGGAAATGTGGCATGTGAAAGTGTTTGCTTAGCAATTGCTGCGACGCGCTGCGAACCGGTTGGAGCGCACACGTTGCGTATACGCCATGTGGCTCAGAAATAATAATGAGCTGTAGTTCAGGGACAAGGTTGACGCTGGCGCGATTGGCTCATTGAGATTCTTTTGCCAATTATTCTAATGCCGCCGCCACCCGCACGTAAACAGCTCGAACGCTTCAATTACCTAAGCATGCAGTCATAAACCACTCGCAACTGCCACTCGATGCGATGGGGGCAGCGACCGGGTGCGTCGCCACGGCGGCTACGTGGGCGTCCGCCACTGCGAATTGTGGTTTGTGCGCTTCAATTAAGCTAATGATTTCGTAGCTGACATTTTTATTATAATTTTGAGCTTGTTACCCGATTCGTGTTCACTGCTCGCATTCGTTTGTTGCTGTATTTATTTTGCTTTAATTAATTATTGGCTAAAAAAATTATTCAGTTTTATTTTCAATGTGTCGCCTTATGACAGGCTTCGTTTTTGCTTTGTATTTACTCGTATTGTAGGCTGTAAATATGAATAAATCTTTAGAGCGAAAATAAAGTTCAAATCTGGAATCACTGAACTGAACTCGAACCGAGGCTGATATTTGTTTTCGCATTCTTCCACTAATTATTGGACTTTGTTCATAATAGCTTTGGCTTTGTGGCATAATTTGTAAATATTTGTAATTAATTCACTTGAATCAGCGCTTTGATTAATTAGATTTATGACTAACAGCTCAATACGAACGCAGCCATCAATCATGATCGCAATTGCATCAGCTAGTCCCACGGCGAGTGAGAGATATTAAACTTATGTGAGTATGTGCTTCCCTCCAAAATATTTGGCCACTTTCTAAAGATCGAAAACAAAAGTCCCCATTCCCATACAATTACAATCAATTTAAGTATTTGCGCATAAGCGTCATAGTCAATCAACGGCGATTTACACAGCTAGAAATTTATTTCATTTGCTAACGCAACGTAATAAATTGTGCAAAAATTATTATGGCCATTTCCGTTATGGGGCTAAAGTCGGTGGAGTCGCTGTGGCTGCGGCTGTGACTGTGTGTATGTGTGTGTGTGTGTGTGTGTGTGTGATTGTGGCAACAACGAGAGTAAAAGTGGCAGCAGCCACAGACCAACCACTTCTGCAAACTGCGAGAGCAAAGATCTGGAAGAAATTTAGTCCAAATTGGCGGCGCAGTTACTCAACCGGTTGGCGTTGGAGTTGGCTCCAGCCACAGCCTGGCAGCATGTGTTTATGTTGTTATGGTTGTTGCCGGCTGCTTGCCGCCTGATGCTGGCGCTGGTTACGTGAGAATCACAAGAGTCAAGCGACTCCTTTTGGGCGCGAGCGCGCCTTAAAATGGGAAAAAGAAAAAAGAAAAACAAAAACAACAACCGAAAAATCAAAAGTGGAAAATCACGTTTTTCTTGGCGCGAGATTTAAGTGCCGCTTTTTGTTTACGTTATTGTTATGGCTGCTGGTCGAAATGGTAACAAAGCCCGTTAACTGTTGCGCAACAATTTTTGTTTTGCTTTTTTATTATTATTATTATTATTTTTTTCTTTTGGCATAACTTACGCAGCATTCGCCCAATTGTCTGCATGACCCCAAAAATTCTCAAAGCTGCAATTGGCGAGAGTCACAGAGATCTGATCAACAATCTCTTTGAGTCCGAGTGCCCGCGGCCCTCGGGTGTTGCCTTGCCCTGCTCTAATGAATGAAGCACACCCATCGCGATGACGGCGAGCCTTTCATATTGGGCTAAGCGGCGTGTTAACCTTTCGCTACATATGGCCAGAAACACACACACACACATCTCATCTATATGCTTATTTGTGCATGTAGCCAACCCACACAGTCGGCTGGAATCGACTGATAAACATATGTATAATCATGTTAATCACAATTTGTTGCCGCTTCCGTCTTGAAATATGCCAAAACACTGGAATCAAAGCCAAGCAAACGGGTAAGTGTAGCGCATGCAAAATAACAAAAACAAAACAAAAATTGAAGAGAAAACAAAAGACTTAAGACACAAACCTGTAGCATAACATGCAAAACTACAGTTGCTATCGTTGTTGTTGTCGGTCTTTTATTTTGTGGGTTTTGTGGTTTTTGTGGGCTTTGTGGGTTTGTAGGCGTATGGGAATCAGTTGGTTTATCCGCTGCTTAGTCACACACTGATTAAAACAACCATATGTTTATCTAGAAACTTGTGGGATTTGAGGGATTGCTCTCACTTGCAATTGCTTTCGACTGGCATCAAACATTTCGGCGAGCCGATGAAGCAAATAATAATTTTTTAATTGCTCAAATTCCACAAAAACAATGCCCCGAACAGCAACACGACGAACATGAAATTCTATATTAATATGCGGCGATTAATGAAACATTTCATTGGGCACAATCGATTCCGAGAATGTGCGCCATAGACACGACGACTGAGTCAGGGACTCTGCTCGCCTATTGAATTACACATTTCGACGAGACACCCACACCCACACACACAGCAGAGGGTCTCTGAGTATGTGAGCTACTGACAGACCGCCGTCAAATTTCGAGCATAGTTCAAATTACTGTGGGAGCAGCACCACCAACAACAACAACAACAGCGACAACAACAGCCGCTATAAAATTGTATTAAATTTCGTTAGTTGATTGACTTTTGGTAGCTGCAAAAAAATTGATTGCCTTTTTTGGTCAACGCTTTTGGTGCTGCCATTTCCTGTTTGTTTCTCGAGGCATTAACAACAATTTGCTAGAACTTCAATTGAAAATATGATTTGGCAAGTCAAATAGCAAAGAAGAAGAAGAAGAAGAATTAAATGCTGGCACTGTGTGTTGGTGTTTGATTTGTTGGCACATGTTTTCAAAACAGGCAATGCAAACCACGCGCTTCTGAGCCAGCGTCCGCCCGTCTTGTCAGTGCTATTCAAAACTGACCTGCATCGCAGTAGCTGCTGCATTCGGGGCAACCCAGTGTTCGACATTTGCATCTGGCAGCTGTTGCTACTCAGCTACACATTTGCTAATTTCTATAAATAAAATCACATCCGACGCGCTCAGCTGCGGCGTGCTCTTGCCAATGCACAAATACTCTATGGAAAAAATCGCGTGTAAGTGCCTAGCAGACAATTGAGTCTGTGGAGATGTTGCCTTATTTATTGACAAAGGTCTTAGCAGCTTTTTAGAAGTGTTTGCCATTCAGCTGTACATTCAAACTTTTCGAATAATATGGCAAAATAATACCAGTATAAAGCACAAGTCTCTATCTATTCGCAGTTAGTTTGAGTCCACAAGTTGAATATAAACTCATGTAAGGGCATACGAATTTCGTCATGCCATAAGTGACAATTTTCTTTGAGAGTTGTGTTCGCTGTAGTTGTTTGTTACTGCGCGACTGCCATAGATCATTTAACAAATTGCGAACAAAACTGCATTCAGACAGTTTAACTTGCATTTGTCGCTGTCGTTGGCTCTGGCGCTGGCTCTAGCTATGGCATTGCATCATATTTGTGCCATTTTTGTGGAGCTTGCCAAATGCGTAATACTTGAGGCATGCATGAGGTGTGAAATGGCGCTTACGTCTAATGCTGGGTAAATATACAGTATGATGATGATATGATGAGTGAAATGCGATTGTTCCACTCTGAATGCGAACGCTCGCATCCACCCACAGTGCAGCCTCGCTGCGCGTGTCAGTCACGCAACAACAGAATAGAATATGGCACTTTTTGTATCGCACAGTAATTATGCAATTGGCATGCAGGGCTGCCAGTCGGCTGTTAAACAAATGTACATGCATCATAAATAATAAGCCATAAACAATATTATGACTTTTATGCGTTTTCGTCACGGCGACAAGGTCAGCTGCGTCACTCAAAAGAATCAATTGGGCAGCTCACGTAGGCGGTTAAGTTTTTCACGCGCTTCCGAAACTTTTCACTTTTTGTGGTGTGTTGTTGTTGTTGCTGTTGTATTTATTGTTTTTGTACGCTTAATGGCGTTGCTTTTCGTTTAGATTATGAATATTGTGAAGTGGCCGTTTAATGGGATTGCATAATGCGGATAGAATTGTAGGTGGCGCACCCAAAATGTTTCGAGCCGTGAAATGTTATGTAATCTTGGGGTGCCCAGCATAAGCTGAGCTGCCTCCAACCCGCTGTCTGCCGGCTGTCAGCTGCGAATTGCATGAAGGCCGCTTGTAATTAGGCAGCCAGCTATGAAGTCGAGTCTTAGCAGGCACCCAAAAGGCATAAAAATTGCTCAGCGCCACACTGACTCATCAGAAGTGCGTATACACCATATGTGTGTAGTTTGAAGGCCAAGAAAATGTGGCATTGACTGATTAGCGAAGGAAAACCGAGTCGACAATATACGCCTTAAATCACAGACAACGCTCACCGAATGTGTAGCAAAAGCTGTCAATAGTGACACTGGCACGCACCACTGGCTTGCGCGCCTTGGCTTGACAAGTTCGTGTCCTAAGTCTTTCGTTTAATGTGTGCCGATTCTGTTCAACTGCTACGCATCAGTGCTTTATCGCCTTGGCGCTTTCGGCTGGCAATTC